CATTATGACACCTCTTCCTTCAGGTCTTCACTGTTTGTTCATTCAGGGGAACCATTTTTAATAACAGTAAATTCTTGAATCTTGCAATTTCCAAGTTTAATTTTGATACAGTAAACCTTCAACATTCGCGAGTTTAACTTTAACGGATTTACTTATTTATGGGTACAACTATCGTATATCTGCTCATGATTCACGGGCATGAGGTTTGATTATTCACAATTTGTGGTCATGTTTTTCTATAGCTCTGTGAGATGCTTGTGTTTTGTGTTGACTGTACACAACCATACCAAGTGGAATGCTGCACATCACAGCATACTCTCTCAGTTTCCAGCCTCTGTCATGATAACACCTGCAGCTCAGCTATCATTGCTCTTTTTGTCCTTAGTGATACTTCCTAAGCATACAATGAGTGGGGTGAGTGGATCAAGTGCAGAAGAAAGTAATGAATAAGTAAAAAAGTGAGTTGCATGATCGCCTTGCTCGGGGAAAGTGCGGTGGCTGTAGGACATCATTATGGAGTTAACGAGTTAACTGAGGCAAGTATTCATCCAAATGTCTATGCAGGTGCCCCAGAAAGTGCTAAAGTAACTTTTGAAACCTGTGACATTAACATGGAAAATATGGAGCAAGCCCTTAATTTGTGGATTGAGAACCAGTAACAGAAAAATGTTCCTATTTGTGGCACAGTGATAAGGGAAAAGGTGAAGTGGGTGTACGAACACCTCCAAGCAGGTTCTAGTAGTAAAGCCTCCAGTTCCACTGCTGCTTCCTCCAGCTTCTAAGTCTGCAAAGGCTGGTTTGACAATTTCAAGAACCTCCATTGCCTCCATAACGTGAAACTAGTGAGGGAATCAGCATCAGCTGAACATGTTGCTGCTGCAAGCTAACCGCATCAATTCAAGGAACTAAAAGAGAAGGGCTACAGGCCAGACCAGGTCTTTAATGCTGATGAAAGTGGTCTCTTTTGGAAGAGGATGCCATCTTGTACCTTTCTGTCCAAGGATGAATGATCTGCTCTGGGGTTCAAGGTGGCTAAGGACTGCCTTACCCTTCTCCTCTGAGGCAACACAGCTGGTGACTTAAATATAAGGCCAACGCTGCTCTACAGTACAGGTCCTTATACCCCCTTGCCCAAAATTAAGGGTAAAAACAAGATTCACCTTCCTGTCTTTTTGTGAACCAACAAGAAAGCGTGGGTGACTGCTGTAGTTTTTCTTGACTGGTTCAACAACTATTTTGTCCACAAGGTGGAACGGTAACAGGAGTCTAAGAGTATGGCAGTTAAGATCCTCCTGCTGCTGATGATCTTCAATTTGCTCACCCACAAGTTGAGGTAGTTTTCCTACCTCCCAACACAACCTCACTTTTCCAGTGAATCCTTGATCAGATGGAGTGACCCTTCGCTGACAGTCACCGATTGCTGGAAAAAGTATGACATGGCTGACTGCATAACATCCACCAAACAGTCTGTTAAAGAAATTAAATCTTCGACTTGGAATACTTGCTGGAGAAAGCTGTGGAGTGAGGCAGTGAATGAGTTTACAGGCTTCCCCTGTAAAGGAGGTGCAGAAGATTGTGAGGTTGGCCCATCAGGTTAGAGGAGAGGGCTTCAATGACATGCAAGAGAAAGAGGTGGATGAACTCCTACAGTTGCATCAAGAGAAGTTAAAAGAGGATGTGGGGGAGCTCATATGTTCAAGTGAGGAAAATGAGGACGCAAGTGATGAGGTAGATGCGGCAAGACCACAACTTATGTTAAAGGTTCTGGCATAAATCCTTCAAACAGGGAAACTTACATGAATTTACAGAGCAAGATGAAACAGTCATCCACCACAAGTTTTTCAAAAGAGGCAACACCACCATCACCAGTCACTGTTCCCTCCACTTTCACCACTGTGCCAGTCACTGCTCCCTCCACTTCCACCTCTGCACCAGTCATTTCTCTCACCACAACCTTTCGTCCAATCATCACCTCTGATTTATATGACCCAGCCCCCATTGCAAGTTCTCCAGCATCACCTGCTGCTTCTGATGGATCAAGGTCCTCTCTGGATGATGACGACGACCCCACATCCACCTAAATCCCTTCCAATATCATCACCACTATCATCGTTATCTCATCAGCATCATTTTTATATGACTTTACATATATTATACAGTGGTCCCTCGGTTAACGAACGGTTCGGTTAACGAAATTTCGGTTACCGAATTACCTTCCATAAGAACCTTCAATTCGGTTAATGAACAAAAATTCGATTAACGAAATCCTTATGAAAATCACGTTTTGTTGTATCAGCTGATGGGCTAGTCTGCCAATTTAGTAATCTGTTCTATGTTTACATTCGTTTCCAATGGAGTAAATATCAATAAAATTGTGATCTTTAATATTTTTGCATGTTTTATATTAAAATTATTAGTCATTTTAACATTTATTTAACATATTGATAATATATGCAGTACAGGGAACTAGTTTGTTGTGCGCCCATCAGATGCGTGAGTCAGTCACAAGGCATCAGTTGGACTTTGAAAACAGTGGAGAGGGCATCTATTTTATTGGTGTCTTGAATATTTTTGCATTTTTCATTGAAATTATTGGTCATTCTGATTGGTTAACATACAGTATTGATAATATATAGCACAGTGCAGTGTTGATTTAAAGAAAATAATTTTGAATTACACCTAGTGAACTTAAAATTTTATTGGTGAAATTACTGCATCAAGCATGGGTCCCCTGAAAGGTGATTTCTCCTCCATCCCCACTTCCTTCTCTTCTCCCTTCTCTTCCACCCCCACTTCTAATTCCCATCATCATCATCAACCAGGAACATTCTACATACACACCTCAAAGTAAGTGTACTTTACTGCAATTGTTTTTTACTTTGTATGTACTTTTTGGTGAGCAGGAACTAATTACCCAATATCCCATTGAAACAATGGATTCGGTTAACGAAATTTTCGGTTAACGAAAGACCCTCTGGAACGAATTGTGTTCGTTAACCGAGGGACCACTGTACTTATTTAACATGTACAGTCACAATCCAATGTTTCGACATACACCCCCCTGGCTGGGTGTTCGCCAAGGCCAGGGTTGAGGTAAGGCTGGGTGATCGGATGCAGACATTCCACCACCACAACACTCCAAGACTCACAGCACACAAGCATGGAAGGAAATTTTTACGAATTTTGACATGACATGCACCTGCATAACAAAATTTCATTCATAACATTGTTGGCACACATAACAATAGCAAGTTAGGAGTGAGGCATGAGAAACTTGGGCTGTTCTCGACCCAGTTATGAAATATTAATATTGATAAACATCACGTGTTGATGGACTAAAAGTGTCGTGAAAAATAAAAAATAATCATATGCATAACAAGTTGTAATATTGGTGACCTCTGTGCCATAACTCTCATAATCTGAGACATTATGAAGTGTGATTTAAAAACTAAAAGCAGCAGTAGACAGGAAACAAGGCAAGTGACCAAGAAGTAGTCACTAATGATGACACACGGCCAGGCATCTACGCTGAGGGTCGAGGTCTTCGGCAAAGTCGCTGCTCCGGACAAGACCAAAATTGTTTGGGTGATCCCACGATTAATGTGAATTGCAACATTCCAAGCCAAAATACTCCAATGTAGTTACTGATACACCATTAAATATTGTAAACATGACTATATGAATTCCTAGTATGTGTGAAACCATAATATTCCCAGGGTTATGGTAATATCTATAGGCCTCACCTTGTCGACTGACCGCTCACTCCCTCTTGACAAAATTCGGCCGCCGGCCACCCTTTATATATGCTGCCCTGATGATTCATGTGTAATACGAAGACTCTCATCTAGTGGTTCCAAGCCAGTGTTTTGGGACCGGGCAAAGTTTTTCATGCTCTAATCTTAACATGTTATTGTTATGTGTGGCAACAAAGTTATGAATGCATTAGTTATGCCAGTTCATGCCATATCAAAGTTCGAAATAAGTTCCTTCCTGTGCTCGTGTGCTATGAGTCTCGGAGTGTTGTGGTGGTGGAATGTGAACCTCACCATCGTAGTGCCTCGTTACCACATTGCTGAACTGGTCTGCGTCCGATCACCCAGCCTTACCTCAACCCTGGCCTCGGTGAACACCCAGTCAGGGGGGTGTCGAAACTTTGGATTGTGACTGTACAATATTAATCATAAAAGGTACCTCTTTGAGGGTGTGGATCCCTTAACCCCATTTTCCCCACAAGGTCTTAAGTTTAACATTCCCGGACTTGACATTCAAGGTGTTTTTGAGGAACCTAACCCCTATAAATGTTGAGAGTTTATTGTACACCATAACCTACCAATTAGACTGTAGTTTCCAATTCCATGCCACCATTCACTATTACAAAGATGATGCTAGGAGTTAAAAGTAAAGAAAGTAATACAGTAGAGTATGTAGAGGCGGGAAAGAGGGAGGATTGAAAGAGAATGGGTGAAAAAAAAGTACAGTAATTGACAAAATAAAGAAAGGAAAGGTTATTGGTAACTCTGGAATAGTTGCAGAAATGTTTAAAGCCAGTATGTGCTTATATGGCCAACTCTACACCCTCCCCTCTTGAGGGTCCCTGAAACACATGGACAATACGTATAGGTTCATATACAACTAAAAAGTTCTATATATGGCTCATATTTCATACACTCAACTGTGCTGAAAACCAACAGACAAGTTGATCTTATAAACCTGTAGATGGAAGGAATGATCTGAATGAAACTATTGAGGTATAAGTGCATCAACCATCCATTACTGTACATCAATTGTCCCCCCCCCCCCTCCTCAAATAAAGTCCTCTTGAAAACTGAGGACACTTTGCTTTTTCAATCTCGTTATTATACTCACCTATCACTAACAAACACACGGAAACACAAGGTGCTATATCGTCCACACTTGAAGTAAGATTTTTGTCTTTTTTTTTTTTGCTGCTTTTATCCATGAAATATAAACAGTAGTGTTAAATCCTCCACTTCACTAACCTTGTATTTCATGATTAGTTTCATTGGTGTCTTCATGAAGTTTATGCTCCACACCTAATCTGTTGGCTAAATCACTAGCATCCAAAGCTCCTCTTTCCAACATGAACTGTGGTAAAAACAAAACAAAATTAAGAAAATGGCAATATTGTATTACAAACTATACCAGAAATTCAATCTGACTTGTCTTCAGACATGAACACAATATAAACCATAACCATAACATATATTAAATACAGCACGCCCTTCAAATGGCCGTGAATCTCCAAATCCGCGAATAACATTTGCTGACCGGGAGGAGGTACATTTTTGCTTGTGTACAAAGAAATGTATATTCCCTTTATGTGTTTACCCTTAGGACAATTATTCCTTTTACCTGTATTGTATATGTGTGTGTGTGTGTGTGTGTGTAGACACACTCACACAAAACACAAAAACACATACAAATACAGCTCCTCCCCGACTTACGACCTACTCAACTTACGACCACTCGCACTCACGACCTGCCTCAGTCGTACCAAAATTTTGTCAAATTACGTATTTTCGAGTCCCAACGTCAGTACACAGAGAAAATTTTCGTTTGTAATTCACTTTAAAATGGCTGGCAAGCTTAAAAGTGAGAGTTTTGTGGTGCTGAGAAGAAAAAGAGACACCCATTTTAGATTTTCTATGTATTATTTTCGCATTACAACCAGTTCGATTTACGACCTGGATTTGGGTCCCTGATCCTGTCATAAGTCAGGGAGCAGCTCTAAACAATAATGAGAAAATCCTCTCACAAATAATTATCAGAAACAAATTTATTAAAAATGTGAGTCTACCCTCAATCTACTCCATGCTTTGTTATTAATAAAGCACAGAGTAAACTTGAGGGTAGACTCACATTTGTATTAAATTTGTTTCCGGTTATGTGCGAGAGGATTTTCCCAATATTATTTATTTGTAAGTGTTTTGTGAGTGAGTGTCTACACATACACATGTATTAGCCCCTGTCTCATGGCAATAACAATCATATTAATTTGGGTTAATACATTTAGTTTATATAATCCAATCACCCCACTGTAATTTTCCATAAGCTGTGAGGCGCCATGTGCTGTTCACGTGATGGGAAATTCCTCATCAGTAAGCCGACCTTGAGAATGTAGGGTCAGCCCAGCCTCTCCTTCAGAGCCCCTCACAGGCAACAGTCCTCACAGGCACCTGTCCTCACTTGAAGCTCACGAGAATCGGATTGGTGATCTGACTCAGTCAAGCTGAGCCCCGTCCTTAACTAACACTCACAGCTTACAGTGTTAATTAGGGTACATCTACTAATAGACTGTGACCAATATAGTTTTAACAATAAATGGCAAAAAGACCATTTTGGGGTTATAACTTAACTCTTCAACTTATTTATATATAAGCCAAGTTAAGGGAACTCTACCCAAATTGTATATATAAACACACACACACATTTACTGTATACAATGAAGGTAAAGGAAATTACTATCTCTAGAACGAATGGCTCCCTGTCCTGGAAATGAAAATGCTTGCAACTTTAAAACTACCCACAGACATTCTTGTGTACATCCAGGGTGTCATCTGCGAATAATAAAGGACCACAAAATTACCCAAGCATACTGTAGTTATAAATATCAGATCAAGGTCACCTTAATTTTATGTACAACTTCACTCTTACCATTTTTACTAATGGGTGCAAAAACACAACGGAAATGGATATTTACTTGTTTACACCTACTGTACACACCTAATATGTGAAACACTACAATTATAAAAATAAAATAAAAATGTAGAAAATAATTTATTTGCTCTCATTGTGAAAAATTAACAACTCATACCTGCTTGTACTTTTCTTTCAGGAAAGATTCCAGCTTGGCAAGTCCATCATCGGTGGAAAGGTTAGTAAATTCACCTAAGAAATCCCAGTACTCCTTCCAAGTAATTCCTCTTTCAGCTGCCAATTCTCTACAAATGAAAATATAAATATAGTACAATGAGTTTTATAAACATGAATTAAATTTGATAAAAGTGATATCTCCGTCAGCCGGAAATCCTCAAACCCAGAACTCTCCAATAGCTAGAATTGGAATTTTCTGGGAAAATCATTCCTAAAGCCGCAATTTTCTGGAAAATTCCGGCTTTGGGCACGATTTTCCGAAGGACACATTTTCTAGAAAATTCCAAGAAAATTTTCCCAGTACCCAATAAATTCCAGGGATGGGGGAGCCATTTTCCAGGTTTGAGAGATGAAAATCAGGCACATTTTTCAGAAATTCTAAGAAAATTTTTCCGGTACCCGATAAATTCCAGGGATGGGGGATAATTTTCCAGGTTCAAAAGATGATGTAATAGGCAATTTCTGGAACTTCCGAGAATATTTTTCTGTTAACCTGAAAATTCCAGGGATGGGGGATTTTTTGAAGCTTTGAAAGAGTCGTCTCGTTACCAGGAAATCTCTCACTCCCGGAAGTGCTCTACACCAATTGTTCCAGCTACCGGAAATATCACTATGCATTTTCTATACACCTGACCCTCACTTTATGTTATGGTTGCATTCTGCGACAACACAGCATAATGGGCATGCACCAATAGTAAATATGGGGTACTTAATCTTATGGGGAAAATTAGGATATGTTCCACAACTACTAAAAGTTAACAATAATGCTATACAAGTTGTGGAAAAATAATTACAATACTCTAATGTAGGTTAGAAATAAATATAATATAATATAAAACTATAAACTAAGACATATGAAGAGCATGGGTGTTTGTGTAGAAAGTGTATGTGTGTGGAGTTTCTGACTCACCACTCCAGCCACGTCCTGTGTTGTCATATACAGCGCAATACCTACCCACCCACCTACCCATGTGGCTGAGAAATAAATATAATATAATATAATATAATATAATAGAGATTTTTTTTGTTATCGGAGGCTTTGCTGTATATTAACATTATACTAACCCAACTCTACTTCTGATCAAAGCAGCTGTGAGGCTTGTTTATATTTTGGTCAAGAGAATTACCAACAGGATGTGAAACTCGTATTTTTGGCTGTGATGTTTTGTGTTGCCGCGATCGGCCACCAGGGTGTAGCACCATCGCTATTGTTTTGGCGTCATCGACTCGTTGCAAATGGCTGACTGGTGGCTGAACTTTATGTTCACTTTCTTTAATTTTTCTAGGGTCATTTTTCATTTAGATAATAAACAAATGTTTCTTAAAGGTAATACAGTCCATAAATAATTTAAGACATGTATCTGGTGTGGGTTTCGTATGGTAGGGAAGGAGGTACAGTGAGATGTTGTGAGCTTCCCTCTGCCGTTAAGCCAATGTAAGCCATTATTTACGTCTTCTGCAAATTTGCCGTAAGTTTGTGATTGTGATAATTTGGTTTGTTTTTCAGTATTTTATTATGAGTAATATTATTAGAAAAAATTTTTGTGCTTAGTGGACTACTGCTCGTCCCAGACTACCTAGCTAAGCACCTCCGCCTATGGCGCTCGGCCTCCCATCCGTAATACTGGCGCATTAGACGCAGGGTAATTTGGGATACATTAACAAAAATAAAAAATGCATCTTATACACCGGAAAATACGGTACTTATTAAGTGATGATAAATACACTACAATAGTATTTATTATGTGGTGATAATTATTAAGTGGTGAAAAATACACTACAATAGTATTTAATCACTGCAATAGTATTTATTAAGTGATGGTAAATACAGAACTGTACTGTACTAATTTACTAAGTGTTGAAGTCAGACATTGTGGTAAGCCAATCAGCTGCTTGCTCTTTGTAAACAAATGGCTCATGGTGTTCAGTATGGGATTCTTTTTTTAGGAAAGTTGATTCTTTTAGGATAATATTTTATCAACCTGGTACCAAATGATCCTAAATTTTAAGAATTTTTGTGGAATTGCACTAAAAACTAGTTTCCTGTACTTCAATTATGTTCAATAATTGTTAAAATGACTAAAAGTTTTAATATAAAACTGTTAAAATTATTGGATAGTACAACCTTCTTGATATTTACTCAAATGGGAACGAATTTAAGCCCTAGAACCGATTACTGTATTGGCGGACTAATATTCCAGCTGGTGAGCAAGCGAAAACATGTTGAAAACAATTCGTAAGGAATTCGTTAACCGAAATTTTTTCATTAACCGAATTGAAGATTCTTATGGAAGGTAATTTGTTAACCGAAATTTTGTTAACCGAGGCGTTCGTTAACTGAGGGATCACTGTGCAAACTTACAGGGTCCGGACTTTCAAGGGATTACTATATAGTTGTAAGAAAGAACATTCAAAACATGGGTTTGGGTTTGGACAAAAATCACGGTTGATTTTGTCCCACACCAAACAACAAAAAATTCTCCCAAAAGAGAGTACAGGTAAGTTGATTAGTTAATGATTTCGAAAGTAACACATACTACTTAATTTACAAGGGAAAGCTTAATACAACTCTACTGAAACCTTTCATTTACAATATGCTCACCTGCCCACCCTTTCCAAACCCTTTTCTTGATCAGTCAATCGAAGGGATGCTATTCGATCCTTTGAGTGTCGTGTAGGTGATGATGTGACATTGCTTTTCCAGAGGCGATGAAACACCTCTGCTTGTGTAGGACTCATTGGACCAGCAAATCCACGCACCTAAAAGAACAAACCCAAACTGATGTTGTGCAATTGGAAAAAATCAGTTTGCTCTGTATTAGCAATGAAGAAGATATTTAATTAAAGGGGGGATTAGCAACTAAGTAGATATTTAATTAAAGGGGGGGTATTAGTTTTGGAAAACTAAGTCTAATTTGTTTCATACAAATCTAAGTGGAAATTTAAATTTATCAATTGATTACACTATACAGTATTGTAAATGTTTTGCAAGAATGTTGATAAAAATTTACTGTATATACTGTACTGTACAGTAATATCCCATTAGCTGAAACAATTGATGCAGAGCTCTTCCAGTGAAGAGATTTCAGAGTCAACAAGATGACTCTCTCAAACCTGGAAAAATCCCACAGCCCTGGAATTTTTCCGAGTACCTATAGTCCAATACAGTCGGCCCTTAACATACACGGGTTTAGCATACACGGATTTGCAAATACACGGATTGCCCCGCCGGAGGAATATTCTGCACATTGAAGTAATTGAAGTACATTCAAATCGCGCGCCATTCAACTCGCACGTGGCACCGAACATGGGACACCGCCAGCTCCCACAACCTCACACACACATGCATAGCTCTCCCTCACTCAGTCAGTCTCGCTGTAACCATGCTTGTGTTGACATCACATTGTAGTTGCAAAAATATTACATTTCCGTGAATGTATTATATCAAGCACAGTATGAATAGAATATCACTAATATAACAGTATTTTAACCGAAAACTATTAAAATAACGAGTAACATATCTTGAACATAGGAAGGTTAGGTAAAGTCTTTTGTTTTCATGTAGTTTATCCTAATTTACATTGAAATACATTACGTTTCAGCAAAACTACTATTTATTTCTGAAAATATGAAAATGTAATATTTTTGCTGAAATGACGTACGTATTACAGTGGAAAGTGACGAAAGCAATGACTTTCGCTTTCTTTCGTTCAAAAGATGTTACCGTAATCGCTTTTCGTATGGTTTTCAGTTAAAAAACTGTTGTATTACAATAATATTCTATCCTAATTCACTTGTGATGCAACAGTTTTTTTAACTGAAAACCATTCGAAAAGCGATTACGGTAACATCTTTTGAACGAAAGAAAGCGAAAGTCATTGTTTTCGTCACGATTTTATCCCACTTTCCACTGTAATACGTACGTCATTTCAGCAAAAATATTACATTTCCGTGAATGTAGTATATCAAGCACAGTATGAATATAATATCATTTTTTGACAAAACTAATCTTCAATAGCTTACCTAAAAGTTAAGTTAAATAAATATATTTTAAGAAACTAAAAGATTAAATGATATGGGCATGCGAGGCATAAATGGAGCTGTGTGTCACAGCCAAAACAGTGGAATTTCCACTGTGCACTGGGGAAAATTTTCCCCAAGTCTAAATGACGATGCAACTCCCCACATCCTTCTCACTCAACTTCCTCCCTCCCTCACTCTATCCACCTTCCACCTCATTTACGCTCTGTAATTGTAATAAATCCTACAATGTACAGTACGTACTTTTTTTATTCAAAGTATGCATACAATGATATTTTCTTTACATTCAACTGAGTTTGTTTGAGTGTCTTAAAGCAGAACTTATGTAGTCAACAGGTAGGCCTAAGGTAACAAATGGAAGTCTCAGGGAAGAAAATGTCTGGTTTTGAGAATCTCAAGTTTTCTGAGATCTGGATACAAAAGCCTGGATATAAATATTAATAAAAACTAAAAAAAGAAAGACAATATACCTGTGTATATAAAGTCAGTAAAAAAGGTATCTGCATCTTTGAGTCCAATGGATTTCAAAATGACTCCTGTTGTCTCAGTAGGATTGTCCAAATCCTTCGTCTGTTTTGTCATATTGTGTAACACTAAAAAGTTGCAGATACCATTTTTGCTGACTGTATCAGTATTTTTACCCCATTACAGAAATACTGTAACTCTGAAATTTGTTTCACCCTTTGAGTAAAAGGCACTTCTACAATACTGCTGTAGGTTAATTTACAGGAAAATTTTAATCAAGATACAGTATTTTATATGGTTTTTGTTAAGCTGTTGAAAATAAACTCATATGAATCTATGGACGTAAGGATACAGTAAATGTACAGACACAGGGCCTCATACCTTAAATGATGGACTTATGGGACTGGCAGGGCTGACAGGACTATGGTAAGTCATAAGCAACTGGTCTTTGGTGACAGGGCTTGTTGGAGAGTCAAAATTTGGGGACCATGGGTTACCCACTTGAGGCAGAAGACAAAGGTCATCATCTCGCAGCAGAGGCACATAATACTGTTCCCCAAGCAAGTCACAGATCTCTCTGGCCACTTTAGGATTGCTCTCTTTCATTCTTGAGCAAACAATCTGCAATGTAAAAAGTGAAGTGATAATAGGTTCCATGGTCATTGACAATAGGGCATACCACACTCTATACTAGGCCCTTTAGTACACATAAAGCAAGATGGCTGGCACTACACTTTAATACCTTCACTTGTCAGGATCAAAGCAGGGTGATGTAATGCAGTGCTACTCAAAGTGGTGGTACGCGGACCGGTGCCGGTATGCGAGCCATCGGCTGCCGGTCCACGGCGAGTTTCCAGAAAAGAAAGAAACAATAGTATAATTTAAAAGTAGCGCATCCAGGGGCAGAGCCGTCAAACCTCAAGAGGCATTTAAATACAAAACATAAAGAAATGAGTTCAAAGTCGAATGAGTTCTTTGTAAGAAAGCATGTTGATTTAAAAGGCCGTCAGAAACAGAACTTTGAAGTGTCACACATACCGGGTAAATACTTGTGCTTTGCGGGATTCTTATAAAGTAGCACTTCGAGTTGCTAAGGCTGAAAAGCCATACACAATCGGTGAGACGCTAGTGATAGGCTGTATTAAAGATGTCTGCATGGAAATGCTGGGTGAGCCGACGGCAATGAAAGTGGCTCAAGTGCCACTTTCAATTGACACTATAGCTCGACGAACTCACGATCTGGCTCACAATATGGAAGATCAGCTCATAGGACAGATTAAATTAGCAAAGTACTTTTCTTTGCAGCTTGATGAATGTACAGATGTTGCTAATATGGCAATTCTGCTGGTGTAAGTGCGCTTTGAACATGAGGGTGATTTGAAGGAAGAGTTTTTTCTCTGCTTCACTACCAACAAAAACAACTAGTTCTGAAGTGTTCAAGACTGTGAGCGACTACATCGTTAACAAATGTGGGTTAGATTTCAAGTTTTGTGTAGGCGTATGTTCTGATGGCGCTGCCGCAATAATAGGACGGCATTCGGGAGTGGTTACCCAGATCAAGGCGCTTGCCCCAGAATGCAAGTCGACGCACTGCTTCCTTCACTGAGAAAGTCTTGAAACAAAAAAGATGTCAACAGAAATAAACAGTGAGCTCAGCGAGGTTGTAAAAATTGTGAACCATGTAAAGGCAAATGCTTTAAATTCGAGACTATTCACTGCATTGTGATGATATGAGAGCTGATCATAAACAGCTCCTATTGCATGCCGATGTACGTTGGTTATCGAGGGGAAAAGTCCTGTCAAGAGTATTTGAACTACGAAACGAGCTTGCCGAGTTTCTTCAGGACAAAAAACCAAATTGGTCACAATTGTTCCGAGATGTGGACTGGCTAGCCAAGTTGGCTTATTTGGCTGATATCTTTGCCATCTTTAATAATCTCAACACCTCCATGCAGGAAAGGATGGCTTCGTGTTTTACAATGGCAGACAAGATCAAAGGACAAAAACGAAAGCTAGAAGCATGGAAGAGTCGAGTATCAAGAGATTGTTATGACATGTTTCACCAATTAGCGGCAGTCATTGCCAATGCAGGCGAAGACTTTAATTTACATCTCTACAAATTGTTACCAGAGAACACTTGACGAATTTGGCAGAACATTTTCAGCATTACTTTCCAGCAGAAGATCCACGGAAAGGGAATGGATGGATCCGAAATCCGTTCATGCCATTGAGAGATGACTTAAGTGTCACTATGGAGGATAAATTGTTGGAGCTGGCTGCTGACGAAGGATTGAAGATGAGTTTCGAAACACATCACTCGGTTCCTTTTGGATAAAAGTGAAAGCAGAATATCCTGAGCTTACTGAAATTGCTCTGAAAACTCTTCTCCCACTTCCTTCAACATACCTCTGCGAGACTGGCTTCTCAACCATGAGTGTTATTAAGACAAAGTACAGGAATAGTATGGATATTTATTCTCCATTGCACGTGGCACTGTCCTCAACTGAACCACGAATGGATAAGCTGACAAAGAAGAAACAGCTCACCTTTCACTTTAGTAAAGGTTAAGGTTTTAACATGCCTTTTATTGTGTTAATAAAATAATCATCAATTTCATATTTTAGTATTACGACATATTTTCAAAATTGCTGTCTTCAATTTAATGTTGCCTATTCCTTTCAATCTTTGTTTTAACTTCTTTATTCATTGGTGTTTAAAATAACTAAAATATAATAAAATTTGTTACCTACTTCTATTCATTATAATTTTTAATTTTATTACTTATATATACATATGTTTATATTATCTTTGTTAGAAGGCTTTGCTAGTTTGATTTTTTAAATTTTTTTATTTATATTATGATATTGTATTACTTGTTTACAAAATAAATATAAAATAAAACAAATGCGTCAACTTTTATTATACAGTACTGTATATTCACTATATTTTTCCGGTATAAATTAATATTACTACGAATGTTCAAATAATATTTTCTCGGATCATAAACAAATAATAATATGGCACAAATATGGTACCGGTCCCTGGCACATTGGAAAAAAAAACTCCAGGTCTGCCACATCAGATAGTTTGAGAAGCACTGATGTAATGCATATAGTGTACAGTGCCTGAACCTCAACTCTAACATAATGCTGCCACACTAGATGCATTACACTACCCTTAAGCCAAACCACATACAGTAAGTCCTCGCTTAACGTCGGGGTTACGTTCCTAAAAATGTGACGTTTAACGAAACAACGTTAAGCGGATCAATTTTCCCCATAAGAAATACATAAAATAGGGGAGTTATGTTCCTGAGCCTCCCTTTGCCCCATGAAAAACATTACATATACAAAAAATTATTGCCATTTCTATAGAAAATAGTATATATCCAGTATATATAGAACTATTAAATTTGTATTGGTACTCACCGATGGGCGGAGGTGGTAGAGCGAGTGTGTGGTGGGTAGTGGAGCGGAGGAGGTAAATGGCGGCGAAACGTTAAGCGGGACTTACTGTACCCTATTTGCATGCCATACCTACTGAACAATGTTTAAAATCCCACTATGTCATAGCCTATGTCCTTATATACATCTAATATCACTTAAATTAAGAGAAAATAAGAAATATATAAGAACAAAATACAGTACAGTAAATGAAAGTAAATAATAAGTTATCAGGTAAAGGTAGTAGGCAGCTATCAAACAGGGAGGTACTACTGCCTGGGAAGATATTGGAAGCATAATGTGTTGTCTAATGTGCCTGGGTAGGGTAATCCCCTTTAAAGAGAGAAAAACAACAACACAATTTAAAGTTGAACTTTATGGGACCTCATTTGTATCAGCAGATGTTCATAAGTTGGTCGCACGTAACCCAGGGACTGATTGACTGTGCGTGTACATGGGTCATGGGTACTGCATGTCGCTTTCATTAGTGGAGAGAGTGTAAACAAGCATGGTTGTTGTTGGTAAGTCCTGCATTGTATTATGAATTTTAATCTTTTTTTATTTTGTTTTCTAGTAAAAATTAACTTCAGGAGAAGACCTAAGAGCTCTATAAGAAATCAGCATTAGACAGGGTGGGGGCTAAATGGGGTAGGACTAATACTGTAATTATTTGTGATAATTTGGTTACAAATGGACCCGAGTCCATTATTTTTACTTTAATGGTCCTGAGTTCGTAATATATAAACCTAGTCCGAGCAAGTCAGAGTGTCTGTTGAAGCCGAGGTCCAATATAGAAGGTGTCTGTTAATTCGGGGTTTACTGAAGAATAAAAAATAACAAGAATTGCCAAATTAATTCATATCCATAACTTAGATGATTAATTTATCATAATCATCTCCTTTATACAGTAAACTCTCGCACTTCAGGACCTCTCAGATCCGGATGTTGGTTGGTCCGGATGTGGCAAATTCATATCCAGTCTCTCTCTCTCTCTGTTCATATACTGTGTTTATTCCCCTACTGTTAAAATGGACCCAGTCTGCATCTCCCGCCACTATTCACAGCATGCGTCACTCCTCAGTCCCGAATTACCGATTGTAATCTCGGTGTGTACACACCATCTCGCTACATCTCTACTGTGCTCTTCTGTTATTGCTCGAGTATTTTATGCCTTGTGACTGTTCTGTAGTGATGGCACCCAAAAGGAAGTGCACACAGCTTACTGTAGCTTAGAAGCTGGAGTTGTTATAGAAGTTAGAGAGTGATTGGTCTGTAGTGAATATAGCATTGCTAGGCATGTGGTGTAAGATATACAAAAGGCTAAGGGTTCCCTGCAGTCATTTGCAATGAAATATAGTCCTGATTCTTCGACCTCCATGACGACTGTTGGAGAGCACAAGCTGATGAGAGTAGCGCAGGATCAATGACTGGAAGATGCTGTGTTCAAATGGTATTCACAGCAACGTTCAAGTGGTGTGGCTGCGCGTGGTGTTGAAGGTAATCCGGGCTTCCAGCTGATGACTGAGGAGGAGATAGCAGCTTCCTGCACAGCCCCCGAAGAGAATGATGACGATAAGGATGAAGACATCACCTTCTTTGCTCTGAAGTTGTCAGCAGTTCGGGCAGGATTGGCCACAGCTATCGAGTATCTGCATGCTAATACAAATGATCATGACTTACAGAATGACTACTCCCACCATTGTGAGTTGAGGGATTTGATATGCAGGAAGCAGCTGGAGCCTAATAAGCAGACCAAGATTGACTCCTTATTCCATCCTAAAACCCCCATCAATCCCAGCAGGACTCCTACTCCTCATCCTACTTCTTCCTCCTCACCTGTAGCTGGCCCTTCGTCTACACCCACACTGTCACTTCTATTGTCAGACATTACAGTACACTTGCTGTCTGACGAAGAAGACTAAACAGTCATGAGTCCAACCATATGATCACAGCAAAACCCAAACTCCAACATCTCTGACCAAAAGGTTAGTAACACATTATATTACTGTATTAAAATTAAAAGGAGGTAAGTTAAAATAATGCTATATTGATATACAGTATAGTCTGGATTTACGCGGATTTCCTTTACGTTTTTGGTCATTTACACGGCACCTGGCCAGACCGGCAATTATTAGTTACGCGGTACATTCCATCATATACGCGGGAAGCGGCGCGGGCAAGGTGCGCACAAGGTCGCCCAGTCAACAAAACATTACCGAGTTCTTCACCCGCCACCCACCACAGCCAGCCCAAGTCAGTGATAGTGAGGATATGGACTTTGAGGGGTTTGACAAAGAGGCCCTGCAAGCCTCTGTGGTGGATAGTGATACAGGTGATACAAGTGATACAGGTGAGGGACAATATTCTGCCCTCTGCCTCGGAACCAGCCCCCAATCTCCGTGTGCCCAGCCATCTCTTCTACTAATGTAAGTGTTAAAAAACCTAATATTATTGATAATTCTCTAAAATATTAATTGTGTGTGCATACCATCATAAAATTAAGATGTTATTTTTACTACAACGTATGTATTGTGTCGGAAAAAGGGTAGTCTGGGGGTCAGCCCAGTCTCTATTTCAATTAATCCCATATGTTCTGTTATTTCGTTTACACATTTCTCGTTTTACACGGACCTCCAAGGGTTTAATTGACCGCGTAAACCGAGACTATACTGTACAGTAAAAACAACAATACTGTCTTTAGAGCAATACACTAATATAATTATCGTTGTTGTTGTTATGACTGTATTATTATTTAATACCATTATTACTATTATTATTAACCCTCTCAGCCTCGGAGCCTGAGACACATAGTGCATGAAAGCTTACGCTCAGCCAAGGAGGATTTTGCCGAAAAATCTTTGAAATTTTTTTGTTTTGTTTTTTTAGGCTCATTTCACTGCCATGGAATTGTTTTAGTCATTGTAATGGGGTCTCTTCTAGCATAAAATTGTATGAAACCATAAAAAACTCAAAATTCTTGAAATTTAAGCCACTTTTATCGAGTATAAGATGAAAAAGTAGGAAAATATTTAGTTACATCTCACTTTCCATTCACATTTTCCTTGTATTACGGTGTTCATTGATATGTACTACAATATATATCAAAATAAAGAGCAAAGCATGTAGAACATCGTGGTATAAAGCGGCGCACCCTCCTCTCGTTCTAATGGCCAGAGCGACACTGGCTTCGTGCTGCGCTGCCATGCACACGATGATCAAGACCGTCTCGGGGGAAGGTGATAAGACCCACACAAAGAAATCGACGTCCGTCAAATGGCGTCCGAAGTTCAGTCAGTTTCACTGAATAGTTTTTGAGTTATTTGAAAATATAGCCCATTGGACGCCATGTTAGCGTCGTGAGGCTGAGAATAAGTTTTTTCGCCTTTTATGTTTGACGCCACAATGGCGTCTTGCGAGGCTGAGAGGGTTAATACCATATTGTTATTGTAATTACCCATATCAATACAGTCCATGTACAATGTTATGATTATCATTAACACGCCTTGATCCCCCGGTTCATCAGGACATTTGCCACATCTGGATACCCTCTCCCCCCCTAATTGTCCAGAAGTGCTAGGGTTTACTGTACTCGTCTATATAAAATGTCAAGAATAAGTTACACTGACAGGAAAACAATGAAGAAGTACCAAGGTTAGACAAAACTTCAAGAGAAATAGATACTTGAAATGTACAGAAAAAGAAAAATCAACACTTTGATCACATACAATACTTAGTGACGAAGTTGATATTAACAGTAATTTTAATGGGCAAAGTTGAGAGTAGGAAGGCCAGGAGAGGGCAGAGACTGGGATGGATTAATTAAATAAAAAATTGGGTCCCAGAGATACAAAATCTTGGAGGATTGGTAAAAACACCCCAAAAATGTTTTAGCATGGAGGACTGTGAATGCCAACCATCAGTTAAGAGGAAGGTACTGTACTTTGATTGATTGATATAAAAACAAGTGCAGCATACAGTACTTACATCAATTGGCTTCTGAGCAAACTTGTTGTTCCTGTACTTGTCACACGCAGCATAAGAAGTTAGTTCTCGGACACAATCCACACTGCCATATTTGCTGGCAAAGTGTAAAGGTGTCTCATTTAGTCCCTTGTCAGGAGTGTTGAGATACAGATCCAACAGGAAGGTGCTGCGTCTTTCAGAACTTTCAAGAATATCATCTGGGTATAGTTTCTGGAAAAATTCAGCTCGTGCAACTGTGGTCAGCACCTGTGTAACAGACAAGACAAAGTGAATTTTTATAAACACATATACAGGTACAGTCGGTCACAAGAAAACTATACACCTACTGTTCGTGTTTGAGACAAAATATCTGGTAACACTGTCCTGAACAGAACAGACAAAATTACAAAATGAACTGTAATTTATGTTTTATTCCTACATACATGTTATACCGTAAATACATTTGTTGTGAATGTTTTACTAGTGTCTTGTGTTTATATTACAAGTAATATATCGTATCCAATGGTAGTAAACTTGGTGCCGAATGGGATTGCAGTTATCGTACAGCTCTTTCCGCCTCCCCCACTTTTTCTCTTACCCTACTTTTTTTTACTGAAGTTTGGATTAGTAAAGGGAGGAAGAGGGGTAAGTAGAAGAATAAAGACGGGGAAACAGAAAATAGTTAGCGATAACAGGTGGGAGGAGCTGAGTTTCATCATGCATCTGGGTACCCAGTTTCAATGTTACCAGACCATTTTCGGACCTTACAGTTACAGTGTGTATGCTTATTCCTGTGGCCGACTGTACACATGAGTTCATGTAATACACATACAGGCAATGCTCACTAAACTAAAGGGATGCATTCCATAGAAATGGTGCATAATAAGAAAATCTGTACAGTGAACGTGATTTTCCCATCGACATAATGCTATGAAAGGAAGATGCATCCCTAGTGGCTGATTTTCAACCGCATGTAAAAACACAAACTGTCTGGAGATGGATTTCAAGACCTTGTTTGTAATATTTCTGGTGGATAGAGGAGTGTCCAGAGCACCTGAGAGGCTTATTGCAAGCAATACAGGTTATAATGAACAATTTCTATATTTCTGATGCCAAGAGCAAATTTATTGGTGTGACGCTGTTCAGATCTTGTACAGTGGATTCGCAATACTGTAATTTGCAGGTAAGATACCAGAAGACACCGTGAATTGTAGTTCAATTGATTAAAATGGATATATGTAAATAGTTAGGTTCTGGTGGCCAAAATATACTGTACACATAAACAGTTCCAAAACTGATTTAAAAAACAGTAAATATCATACATAATACAGGTTGACAACCCCTTATCCAAAATTCCAAAATCCAAAAGTTTTTTAGTGGAGCATCACTTAACCCCCCCAGTCCCCCCTTTTCTTTTACTGGGATTAGCCCACCCGGGCACAGGTCACTGACCCACGTTGGGGCCTGGGGGCAAAAATGTAACAATAATAATAATTCATAGTAAATAAAATTTATAATAAAAAATACACAAAAATAAAAAAAATAAAAAATAATGATACCAATAATAATAACAATAATAATAATAATAATAATAATAATAATAATAAAGAAACACAAGAATGAAAAAGATCAAAGTGAGACATGACCTAGACCTATGAATTATTATTATTATTATTGCTATTATATTTTGCCCCCCAGGCCCCAATGTGGGTCAGTGTCCTGTGCCCGGGTGGGCTGATTCCTGAAAGAAAAAAAAAACTAACCTAACCATTCTGAAATCAAAAAAATTCCAAAATCCGAAAAGTAGTTCTATATCACATAAATAGCTCCTTTCCTTCTCATAATCATCCTCTTGGTGTAACTAATGAGTCATTACCGAGAAAGACATGGGCATGGGATAGATAGCTGGTCAGCTGTTTGTGATATGTAAAAAAACTACTGTACTGGGAATTTAATACAACACAGTAACTCATCTGGGGTTGACTGTAGGATTTTTTCAGGAAAATTTATCATTTTACGATAGTTTTATTAACTTTGCACCACATGAACCTAGATATGGGAATTATGATGAAATTATACACAGTAATCTCCCCGTTAGCTGGGTCCTCGCAACTCTCCAATGGCCGGAATTGAAATTGAGCCGGAATAATACCGGGAACTCTCTTTCCATTCCGGGCATGGGAACGAGTTTCCAGTAATGAAAATTGGGCAAATTTTCGAGGAATATTCCAAGAAAATCTCTCCATTCTAGGCCTTGGAACAAATTTTCTGGGAGTTTTGAGAGATTACATAAATTTTTATGTTTGTGTATGAACGCTAGACATGCAAGAAGCACATTTAGCAATGTCAGCATGATCTGGCAACTATGTAGTCTGCACTCCAAGGTCACCACACCAGTTTTCTTTTTGTGACTACAGGACCCATATATAAAGTTTACCCACATTTCCCACACATTTTCTTGTGGCTTGTGCTGATTTCTCGTACATCACAAGGATTTCATTTATTCATAACTGTGTTGTGAGAGTTTGAACCATGCCCCGTGTTGCTGGCAAGGGGAGAGGGGTGGAAAAACGTAGACAGTAGGAGGAGACTGCACCATGTGGTGATCGTGTGGTGCCTCCTCATGTCTCTCCTTCGAAAAATATTAATTTTTCAAAACCTTTCTTCTTTAACTATTTTTTCCTAAATATGTATACACTTTATAACAGAATAAGGTTCATATTATAATCACATGAAATACGAAGGTATAAAGTGGTGTACAGGAGGTCTTCGTTATAAGAGTATTCACTATCCTCGGTTTCACAGTTAAGCGGTCAACTTTTTGTGACCATCCACATCAAAAGTCACAGCATTTAAATGGATTCCACTAAAAAAAACTATGGATAAAATCTATAGATTTAAAACTCCCAATAAAATCTACTGATTTTTAGCCGACACATTTGAAATTTTATCCTCTTCCTGTCGTCATGTATGCACACACGTGTCCCCGTCCCAGTTACCCACTTTGTTTCGTCCAGATGAGTGCTGTGTTGTGTTTACTCCTGCCTTTGTAGTGTCTTTTCGTGAATGTTGTGGTGAATTATTCTATAATTTTTGCAGTCATGAGTTCCCAACCCAAACAGGGAGGTGCAACACTCACAAGGAAGCCCACTTGCTGTAGTATAGATGTAAAATTAGAAGTGATTAGGCAAAAGAAGAGTGGGAGCGGACAATCCACCTAGTCCTGTTTCTTTTTCATCCTCCGATTAATTCTCTATCCCCCTACACCCACCTCATTCAATCCAATTATTTATTTTTTAAACATTTTAAGAAGTATTTTGTCTCAATGAACCACTGGAATGAGTGTGCACCAGTAACGGTTGCTGCGGACCACCGGGTCGCTGGAACAACCTACGTTGCCTCAATAAACTTGAAGGATGTTAGATAATTTTTAAAGTTAATTAACTTCTTAAAATAATGTGTTATCAAATGTTTAACTAATGTTACTAAGGTAAATAATTGTTAAAGATTTCATAATTTTTTGGGAGTGTCGTGTACAATGTCATGGTCCCAATTTGACCCATCATCAGTACAGTACAGTACAGTACTGTACAGTACAGTACAGTACAGTACTGTTCAGTAATTATAAATGCAGGTTTTATATTTACAATATTTTTTTTAATTAATTAAAAGTAATAATAATGTGTTTAAGTAAGCAATAACATATTTTTAATTCTGTAGTTAGGTTAGGTAGAATTTAGCCTACTGGAGACAGCAACTGGGGGATTCAATTGCCTATGGGAGACCACACTTTCACATATAAGATGCAGGCTGATTTTTTTATCCATTTTTCAGACAGTGCAGCTTGCATGCTGTAAAATATGGTCTTTCATGTCAAAATAATTTGTTTAAAGATTTTTTATTGAAACACCCTTGTAGAGAAATTATTCAGGTTGTAAGTGGTGGGGGGGGGGGGCTGGGGAAGAAGAAATTATGTATAATAATGGCTGCTGCACTGCCAGGCACAAGTGAACATCTGACTTGTAATTGTTAAGATTTTTTATTTTCCCTAATAAAAAATAACTTGGGTCACATATATTCACTATAATACGAAGAAATCAGTCATATAAAGTCCTACCTGAGAAATTTTTACACAAGAGTGCTTATTGGCTGTGAGCAAACATGGATAAGTTGATCTCATTGGCAGAGAGGCTGTAAACAAGCATGGCTGCAGGCGACAAGTTCCAAGCGTTCTGTCTTGTAATATGGATTGTCATCAAATTTTGTTTTTCTAGTAAAAAATAACTTCAGAAGACCAAAGAGCTCTACTGTATAATGATTCAGCATTATTCAGGGTGGGGCTAAATGGGGTAGGACTATTACTGTAATTATTTGCCACAATTTGGATACAAATGGTCCGTCATTTTTTACTTTAGCGGACCTGAGTCCGTAATACAGTATTTTCTCGATTAAAAGAGCTAATTTGAGCCACCCCTTTCCGTTAAATAAAAAATTCTGCTAAATTTAATTTTTGTAATTTTCGCTCGATTTGGCGAACTATTCACTAAATCGAGTGAAAAATATTGGAAAAAATTCCTTCCGCTAAATCGAGTTTGTTATATCGGATTCCATTAAATCGACAGTACAGTACACAGTAGTTCACTATAACGAATTTCATATTAACGATTCATCATAACAACGACAGTAGTGAAATGTGATACCTCAACACATTAACGATACATTTTGGTCAATAGCTGATGACGTCAGCGAGCGGAGTGGTTTGTTTTGATCAGAGCGTGTGAACAGGAGGTGTTGTGTAACCTACTCACTTATCTGTGATGATAATGTTCAAGATTTACCTGTGTGTAATCTGTTAGATGATTTACCACTAGAATTCACTGACTTGGAAACTGAAGGATCAGTTGGTGGTGGTGGTGGGGAAGCAGTGAGGGCAGGGGGGCACTAACACCACTCCCCTCCCTCAGATGACAACAAACAGTTTCATTATACAGTTCAACGAGTGTCTAAAGGTTAGTTATAATTAGTTATTAACTATACATGCAGTACAGTATTAATGTGTGTGAATAAGTGGTTGTAATTTTTTGTGGGGTTTATAGGGGTTACATTTTTGTGGTACCAATTAGTCGTTAATGTGAAGTATGGACTGTATACTGTACGAATATTAACCTAGTAAGAACGGGTCAGTGTCCATTAAAGCCGAGGTCCTTTATAGACGGTGTCCGTTATATCGGGGATTTTCTGTTATTAGTTTACCAGATATTCTTACACAAATCTGGCTAATAACAAACATATATTCGCTAAGAATTTCTCAACTTACTGAAGTTACCCATGTAAAATTTGGATACAAAATGCTGAAGATTTTTTTAATGTAAGTATGAATAAAAGTTTATGCATACAAACCTTTGCAACAAACTTAGGTTTGTTGGTCCGACAGGCCATGTGGAGAGCATTATAACGGAACCCTTCCTGAAGAATTGCTGGAGTGTCCCCGCTACTGACTAAGTATCTTGGATTCTCATCTATACACTGTAAAACAATAGCATATATTGAATTAATTTGGGCAAGTAATGTTTAGTTAAGGTAAACGGGAAAATTTCAATATTATAAACAGGTTCTTTAAAGTGCTCTCTGATCTACACAACAGTATTTAATGTCATAGAGGGAGAGCAAGATAATGAATATAATAAATCAATCTGCTGGCAGGGACATATTGATATGAATATGGAAAGAATTAGACACAACATTATAATGTGGAGATGACCAGGGTAAAACCAGGAGACACAAGCACCCATATACACACACACAAGGCTGAAATAGCCAAAAGCCAGAGGCCACAAAACCCAAGACTAACTATCCACACACAAAATATATCTTTCGGTACACCGCCCTTCCCTTAACCTCCTTTTCCTCCCTTCCTCACACATGCACATTATGTTTATTAAGGAAAATTATCTAACTAAACTGTAAAACTTTTTTTTTATTGCTATACATATCGGTACTTGTTTTATGTATCTACTACTGTACTTTGTTTTTATGGTTCAAAGGTCCACTGCATCCACGTTATAAGTCGCTCGTTAGTTCACAATACTATACAGCTATTCCCCTATTTACTAAATTTGGGTATCCCAAATTTTCCTTCAACAAAATATAGAAATTAGGGGTAATTTTTTCTATATGTGCGAGCAATTATTATGTTTATGAATGCCATAAAGATGCAAAATTTCTCTGGTGCAACAGAAAAGAACCATCAGAACAGCATATCCCAGTACAGTAAGTCCCCATTGAACAAAAGGGTTAGGTTCCACTAAAACGCTTTTGTTAGGTAGATTATGTTCATCGGAATCATTTCTCCCATATAAATTAATGTAATAAGGGGAGATGTGTTCCTGTACAAAGCTCTGTGACAAAATAATTGCAACACATCAAAATACTGAAGAGAAAAACAATAAAACGTATAACACACAAAGGTACATAAACTGAGCTGTCAATTGTTGTTTGTGGGAATATTAATTCATTCACTATAGTAATGATACAACATTTCTTATCATGTTATCGTAGGAAAATGCATGGTTTATATACAGTGGTCCCTCGGTTAACGAACGCCTCGGTTAACGAAATTTCGGTTAATGAATTACCTTCCAGAAGAATCTTCATTTCAGTTAACGAACAAAAATTCGGTTAATGAAATTCTTACGAAAATGTTTCAACATGCTTTGGCTTGCTCACCAGCTGGAAGATTAGTCCGCCAATACAGAAATCGGTTCTAGGGCTTACATTCGTTAAAATTGGAGTAAATATCAAGAAGGTTGTACTATTCAATAATTTTTCAAGTTTTATATTAAATTTTTTAGTCATTTTAGCACTTATTTTACATAATTGCAGTACAGGGAACTAGTTTTTGGTGTGCCCATCAGCCACTTCACTCACCCACCAAGGCCTCAGTTTGTATCTCTGTTCAGTGGAGGAAACATCTTGCTTGTGGGTCTCTTGAACACAGAGTATTTTTACGTTTTTACAGTAAAATTATTGGTCATTCTGAAATTTATTTAACATATTGACAATATATAGTGCAGTGCAGTGTTGATTTAAAGAAAATAATCTTGAATTACACCTAGTGAACTTAAAATTTTATGGGTGAAATGACGGCATCAAGCATGGGGTGATTTCTCTTCCACCCCTACTTCCTTCTCTTCTCCCTTCTCCTCCACCTCCGCCTCTAATTCCCATTATCATCATCATCATCAACCAGGAGCCTTCTAAATACACACCTCAAAGTAAGTGTACTTTACTGCATTTTTTTGAGTTTGTATGTAATTTTCGGTGAGCCGGAACTAATTACCCAAAATCCCATTGAACGAACGAACGACCTTCTGGAACGAATTGTGTTCGTTAACCGAGGGACCACTGTATACTGTATTTCAATTACGTCATTTACAGTTCACTTAATTATTCAAATATATTGTATACGGCAGAATACTGTACCTTTCAGTTTATGTATTTGATATACTGTATAAAAGCATCAGGTAAATGTGGTAATCAGTGCACTTCTTTTGTTTTGGTTGGAAAGGATGTAAACAAAATGAAAGAAGGGCATGTGGCATGCTGTGGATGTTTCTTGAGTATGTGGAGGAGATGAAAGAAACTAAATGTATATGAACAGATGTGAACCAATGTCAAGACACCACATTGTGAATATTAACTATCTCACATACAGAAGCTCTCATGAAAGCATGCTAGTCAAAGGATCCACTACAGGTACTGCATCAATAAATTTTACTAATAAATTTTAACTTTCTTTCTTGCTTGCTTTGAACAAACTAACATATTTGAGTCATAAAATAATCAACTTTAAGTTTCAGAACAAACCTGATTGAAGTATCCTGCATCACCCTTTTCGATTGATTTTCGGAACTTGACTAGGTCTTGTGACTTTGGCCCACGGTAAGGACTTGGCTTCTCTGCACTTATGCTAGTGGAGGACCCTGCAACTTCTCCAGCAGCAGCAGCAGCAGCACACTGTGACACCACTACTGTGGGGCCATTTTCTGCAAACCCCAGTGCTTCCTCATACGTTCTAAATGCTTTGAAGCGCGAACCACGGGACTTTTTCATCACAGATAAGCATGCTGTTTTGTCTATGTACACTTTTTGAATATCTGAAATAATTCAACAAATATAATATCATTGGTTTTAATATTTTTTTATTTTATTTATTTATTTATTATTTTTTTTTTTATGGGGAATAGCCCACCCGGGCTGGGGGCAAAAAATAAGAGTAAAGAGAAATTAAAATTAGAAAAGAAAAAGATTATATTAATCTACACTACGAAGATGCTGGAAAACCAGCTTTTTGAAGTGAGACAGATTGTATGAGTATGGAAACAGAAGAAGGCAGAGCATTCCACAGTTTGATTGTGTGAGGAAAGAAGGATGTACTATAATGGGTTATTCTAGTGTGACCGACATTACTGTTGGTCAAAATAAATACAGCTTGGAGTGGAAATAAACACCAGCCTTCTAGTTTTATTTTAAAAATGGCTAAAAAAATATTAAAAGGAAAGGGAGTCTGAGGAGTATTGTCCAGAAATGGTGTAAAGGTGCACAAACACAATGACTAAAGTTAGAAAAATCAAGAAAATTCTTTCACTCTCTCCAAATGGAAATTAGCAGAGTATATAATGGTCCCTCAATTTGCAAGAAGGTCGAGTTTCTGGAAAATGTTGTGCAAAGTGAAACCATGCAAACTGAGACAATCTTCTGAAAGCCTGGACAGACTTGTACATTGTGTTCAATGAAATACTCATATAGCATATTTGAAGTTTCTGTTTGATTTGTTTTAAAGGTTTTAAACCCATTTCTGTAAGTGAGGAATACTTCCCAGTGATCAGAAGTGTTCACTGCTTTATTCATCTCACGTGAAACACATTGTGAGCACTGACACAAGTAAACATCTTACCGGTATAGAAAACAGATATAAAGAATAAATGGCAACTTGACAAATGAAATGCAGGGTTACCAAACATACAGCACAATGCAATAGGGTTAGTCAAAATTCTTGGACTGATGTGTCATACTGTTTAACACTGATAAGGTGCAAATACATTTTTTACTGCCTGTACCCATCCATACTGCATGGTGTTATAGCCTGATTTATTCTGCAATTTTTGTTCCCACAGGGTTTTACTCTTTATTTTTAACTTGAAAGAAAACAAGAAAACACTAAACTTTGTGTGTAACTATCAGAAGAACAATTCTATATTGTAATAAAAGCTATAAAAAAAAAGAGAGAGAGAGCTTTATATTAGTGCATAAATAATTTAAGGAGTGTTCATGTTCTGCTAGTACTGTACAGCACATCCACACAGGATATTTAGTGTTTATTAAAGTCTTGTGTTACCTAAATATATTTTATCCAGCATAAAAAAAATTCTAGTACCCTGTACAGTAATATCTCCGTTAGCCGGAATCCCTTAAACACGGAAATCTCTGATAGCTGGAATTGAAATTTGCTCGGAAAATCATTCCCAAAGCGGAATTTTCCAAAAATTTCCGGCTTTAGGAACAAATTTTCCGAGGTTGAAAATCGAGAGAATTTTCTGAAACTGTCTTGAATAAAGATGAAAGTTAAAGTATTTTTTGGGGGGGAGGGGGGGAGGGACCTGACCTGACTCAATGTCAGGTGGTTGTAGGGTGGGGGATTAGTGGTAGCATATTACTGACCTTCTGATGGAATGTCAGGTCACCCTTTCTTGGGTGAGGGATTAGTGGGTCTCATGACCTGAAGATGTTTTGAATAAACACAAAACCTAAGTATTTTTAGGGAGATTACATAAGAACATAAGAATGGAGGAAACTGCAGAGGGCCTATTAGCCTGTACTGGGCAGTCCCACTTACACCCAACCCCTATTGCTCATACAGTATATCCATCCAACCTATGTTTGAAGCTATCCAGATTGTGATAAGTATAAGTATAAATGAGCAAAGTCGTATCCCTTCAACATTACATTACATAACATTTTAAAATAAGGAGTGAGAAAGCAGGAAGGTGTGGGTGATTAGAGAGATTGGGTGGAAAACAGTGGTAACATGCACCATGGTTGCCAAGCGATAAGCTCCTCAACAGCTGATCTTTCAATTCACCTCTATGCAGTAACACAACATGACCCTCATTGGATGCTTGTTGTCTGAATTCCAGAGTGTGTGTGTGTGTGTGTGTGTGTGTGTGTGTGTGTGTGTGTGTGTGTTGAGCTTGCCAAGCACATTGTAGGATTTGAAGAAGTTGATGAAGAGTTTGTTCAGGAGTCAGGTGGTGAGGTGACATGCCAAGACACTTACACAGCACACACATTAACAGCACTACTAAACCATTGTCTTATAACATTTTACATTATAATTTCTATTTTAGAATTAATTGATACATGATAGCTCGACAGGACTACTTTTGCACTTAGACAACTGATCAATGAATAAATCCAGGCATATGGAGACTCATTATACATTAGTTATGTCACAAAGATTTGAAACTGCAACCACATAAATTATCCCAACCTGTACTTGCCAAAAGTGTGTAACCGATCACCCAAGCAACTAATGAGCCGATCAGTGGTGAAGAGGATAAAAGAAACAGTTCTACCCCGTATTCACGCCTGTATCAAATAGAGCTTCTATTTTTTTAAATATATAATATTTAACCAAACTTTTAGATAAAGTATACAGGATTATTTTGATAAAAAAAATGGTGTGTCTAACGAAATTAGAACTGATTTTACTGAATCGGGTATCAACATTTCTTACGTTTTTTATAAGAGAATGGAATCCCCATCACTATATCATACACAAATATTTCGTTTTAGGATATCTTTTTGGATATGTTTCATAGAGAATTTATTAAGGATCATCATGGTATCAAATTCATCTCCCTATCACAATTAGCCACGCTTGAGTGAGGAGGGGGGAGAACTGACTACGTGGCCCTCTCCCCCCAAAAAGGTTGACTCCCACACTCTTCGGCCAAACATTAGAAACCAACATTACGCCCATACATCACACACACACTCCAACAACCACCCACACACTCCAACAACTAGCCACACACACACACACACACACTCCAACAACCAGCCACACACACCCCAACATCACACCCTCCCCAAGAGCACTCCAACACCACTCACATACCCCTAACATGGGAATTAAGACAGCAGACATAAGGAGTGAGGGTCTTATTGTGTGACAATTTTGCATGTGTGTGAATGTTAGTTAAATATCAGCTGTTGAGGCGTCCTCATTTCCACCCAATCTCTCTAATCACCCACACCTTTCTGTTTTCTCACTCCATATTTTAAAATGTTATGTAATGTAATGCTGAAGGGATACAACTTTGCTCATTTATACTTACACTTATCACAATCTCTAAAAATACTTTAGGTTTCGTGTTTATTCAAGACATCTTCAGGTCATGAGACCCACTAATCCCCAGGCCAAGAAAGGGTGACCTAACATTCCATCAGGTCAGTAATATGCAACCACTAATCCCCCACCCTACCTCGACCTGACATTGCGTCAGGTCAGGTACACGAGACCCACTAATCCCCCACAGCTCCCTGCGAGTGGAAAATACCAGTATTTGCAGTAACACACAACTTCATTCATGCCCATATCATAAAGATTTTTAATTTTCAAATATATTTATTTTACCAAACTTTTACACAAAAAATTATGGATTATTATAGTAAAGAAATGGAGTTTCTAACTTAATTAGAACTGCATTTGCGGACTCCGGTAGTTTAGACTCAAGGAAAATATCCCCAGCACCCAGAAACATTCTGGGGAAGTGGGCTAGTGTCCGTCTGTGCAAGATGTCTAGTTTAGACACTCGGAAACTTTTCCCAGTAACCAGAAAAAATTCCAGGGATAAGATTTTTTTTCCAAGCCAAAGCATTTATATACTCCTAGAATGGAATAAATGTTAAAGAAATCCATTTTTCCACAAATCCATGCATTTTCATGAGCGCTTAAATTCGAAAACAATTTTAGTTTTCCTCAAATGAGCACAGACAAACAAAAAACACAGTAACTGGGGAACAGTCATGAAAACGCACAGATATGCGGTAAAACAGACTTCTGAGATACAAAATTGCGATGTCAGCCTGTAGCATTGTAGGATTTATTGAGGGATCCTAATAGTGAGGTCCAACTAACCATAAAATCTCTTTACCTGGCACCTCTTAATCCATAGGTGCCAGATAACTGGGATTCTACTGTACTTGGTTTGAACTACCCAGTAGTTCAACAATATTATGATAACTTGATATGAGAATTAAGATTTCCTTAAGGCCATTTTGATCATATTTACCCAAAAATTACATGTAAAGACAATGAACTGAATTATACTAACCTGGGTCATTAGTAACATCCACAGCCTCTGGCAAGAAGACACCAAAAAACATAGAGACCTCCAAATTGTGCTGGACAGATGCTAGTGAACCATCACTTTCTTCTGGGAATACCTTCTGACTCCTCCCTGATGCAACAGTACCACCACCAGCATTGTTATCTGATGTCTCAGCAGTATTCCCTTCAAGCCTTCTTTTCAAAATGTGTTCATGTAATTCTCTGTTGGAATATTTGGCTAGTGTAAAAGATGATAATAAATTTGCAAAACTCTTTATTAACATCAGAAAACAATGGAGACAAAGCCATAGACTGAACACAATATGAGGCAAGAAAATAAATCTATAACATGACTTCTTACAAAGATGAAGTATTTTCATGATCTTTAACTTGCATACACTGTACTGAACAATGATCCCTGAAAACTGTATAAAACAGTGACAATAATCTTTTTTAATGCTTTTCATAGAGTGAAAAAATCAAATGTGAAACTTTTTCTGGGTATACATAAGCAGGTAATATATGCAACATGGCTAAAGCCTTCTCCAAGGCACCATACAAAAGAGAAGCACTAACCACAAGCAAAACCAATTACCATAGATTTCACCATAAGGTTAAGGAAACTGACCAACTGACCCAATGATCACTGATTCAAATCATGTGGCTGCCTTTTCAGTGACACCCCCACACTACCCAGCTATAGAACTTTTCAATTGGATAAGTGTAAGGTGAACTAAAGCAGGGTTTGCCATCCTTTCTTTTTGTCTTCTGTATGCTGTATCCTAACTGACCTTAAATCATCAGCACTATGGGACCCATTGCCACTTTTCATAGTAAAGTATCTTTGTTTTTAATTTATCAATAGTATTATAGCAGCTATGGGCTGATATTTGGGAGGTGACGTGTGTATGTATATTATGTATGTTGTATGTATACTATGTATGTACCCCATTTATATACATTACTTATTTAGTCAGTAACGTGTGGCAATGCCCCTTTTTCATGTCACCACACGCTTAGATAATGTGCCTGGCGACATCTGGAAGCTGCTAATGTACCACTTGCCACATGTCGCCTGAGAGGTCAGAGAGAGGTCAGTTGACCCATATAGAGTGTAGGGACTACCGGCGCTGGGATTGCGCACCTCTGTACTTCCATCAAATAAAACCTACAGAACTCTACAGGTGTTTGTGTTGTCTCCTGTAGTTAGAACTGAGTACCCAGAACCCCTACAATGTGGAACTGGTGGAGGGAACAGTGACACAGAGAATTGGGCCACTCAGTGTTGAGACATGGAATATTCTTGAATGGAGTTAAACATTAAACAGAAACACAGTTTATAAGTAGGCATATATGATGTGGATTTAACACAAAGTTAACTGGACCCAGTTACCACCTTTCTATCCAGGAATTACTAAACTAAATATGCAAGCATTATTATGTGGAAGTATAATTCCAATGAACAATTTCAAACATTCTACCATATGTAAAACAAAAATTTTAATAATAAGCTGAACATCAAGGGAAGCTATAACAACCTGTTTGATGAAGTTATTGGTCCTACAGGTTTGCCCAGCAGGTGTTCAAGGGCCTCCTTTAATTTCTCATCTGTAAGTTGTGATATTTCCTCAATTTTCACGATCTCTTCAGCCATCATGATGTTTCTTGATCATTGAGTTCTGGAAACATCTGCAAAAGGTACAGCATATGAAAAACAAAACAATTAATTTTAAAAGGAAACAAACTATTGTAGGGGTATAAGTAAATGACAGCCAAAACACAGTAACAAAACAAAGTACTGTACAGCAGCAATATAACAATATACAGCAGCATATAAGACATACAGATACAGTACCCGTATGCAAATTATAAGGATGGTTATTCATAACTCCCATTTGGAAGAAAAAGAAGACACATTTAGTGAAATATGAACTGTTAGTGCCCAGAGATTGAACCACCGAACAATCCCCATCAACATTGTTTAAAGGTCATTTTTCACACAATTACCTGATGGCAGATATCTTGCAGCCTCTCCCATCAGGCTCTTAATTCTGAGGTTATTTCTTAAAACCTCTCTAAATGCTATTCTTGGCCTACCTGTATTCATTCTGTTGACAATATAGTACAACCTATAAGGAATAAATAATTACTGTACTGTACAGTCTACAGACAGTACAGGAGTAAGCCCGCTTCCAACGCAAGGGTTTGATTCATCGAAAACAGCATGTTGGACGAATCTGTGTTTGGGGAATGTGACAACGTAAATTCCCTGATTATTACGCAGATACGTAAATATTTTTATATATTGTACTGTACTGTACCGATAAATGAAAAGCACTACCTGTACTGTATTGTATATGAACTGAATATAAAATAAAATCAAACATAAAGATATTCCCCTATGATATAAAGAAAATACAGTGACCCCTCGTTTAACGAACACCTCGGTTAACGTAATTTCGATTAACGAACTGCCTTCCATAAGGATCTTCAATTCGGTTAACGAAAAAAAATTCGGTTAACGAAGTTCTTACGAACCGACCTCAACATGTTTTTGCTTGCACTGACCGGGCAACCAGCTTTAGTATCAGTCCGCCAATACATTAATCGGTTCTAGGGCTTAAATTCCTTACTATTTTAGTAAATATCAAGAAGTTTATACTATTCAATAATTTTAAAAGTTTAATATTCAATTTTTTAGTCATTTTAACAATTATTGAACATAACTGAAGGTAAAGTGACTAGTTTAATGCGCGGCATCCAGCCTCTTAACACAGCAAACAGGAGTTAGTCTCTCTCTGTTTTCACTGGAGGTAACATCTTGCTTGAGACTCTCTTCAACTAAACGCTTTTTTTCTGTTTCCAAGCAAATTATTGGTCATTTTGAAATATATTTTACATATTGACAATATATAATGCAGTGCAGTGTTGATTTAAAGAAAATAATCTTGAATTACACCAAGAGAGCTAAAATTTTATGGGTGAAATGGCACCATGGGGTGACTTCTCTTCCACCCCAATGCCTTCTCTTCTTCCTTCTCCTCCACCCCCATTCTAAATCCCATCATCATCATCATCGTCCAGGAGCCTTCTACATACACACCTCAAAGTAAGTGAACTTTTCTGCCATTTTTGTTGAATTTAGGAAATTTTCGGTGAGCTGGAACCAATTACCCAAAAACCCATTGAAACAATGGTTTCGGTTAACGAACTTTTCGGTTAACGAACGACCTTCTGGAACGGATTGAGTTCATTAACGGAGGGGTCACTGTACTGTATACAAAATCCACTTTGTTCTCAGACACTTAGTTGTGAGAGGTAGATTATTTGGGTTCCAGTTTTTCATTAATCTGTATTTTGCATATGCCATAAATGAACAAAATCTGCTATAATAAACAATAAAAATGATACCCAGTACATGGCACCTCATAAAATATAATATGGTAGCATATATTTTATGTACAAAAGTATCTTCTACTCTCAAATCACACTCTTGGTGATGCCAGTTCAGCCAGGCAACCAGAGATGTGTAGGTCTGCTGTGATGTCACATTGGGGGAAGGCAGGTGGCTGGGCTGGGGACGCAGAGGCAACAAACCGTACAGGCATTATAACAGAAAATAGTTATGTTGAGCTAAGCTTAAATTTAGCTTGATAATCATTAGCAAAGAGGATAAAGAAAACTTAGATCAGAGGTGCATACAAGATGCATGTGTTTAATCTGAAATTTAGGTCTAACTAGCTAAGATACCAGATGTACTATACAGTACTGTACTGACACACTGATAAATGAACTTCATAATATCTATTGTAAAGAGGCTGCACTCATCCTGCTTTGTAATATATATAAAAAAAAAAAAAATTATCGTCTAATGTCATCACTTTAGACTTTTCCTTACTCCATCACCACTTGGTCTTATATTAATGAAACACAATTTTCTGCATTACAGGATTGTCTTCCTTTTATTTTATCTTCTGAAATAATCCTACCTGGTTTCATCATACTGTACCTACCATTATATTTGTCATTTCCTTAATTGTAATGATAATTTGTCACAGGAAAATATCCTCTTGGTACACAATAGTTTCCAAGAAAATTCTCCAAAAGGCACGTGCAAGATGCAACAACTTAGTTAAAGCACATTTTATTATAACATGGATAGGTATACCTCGGATTTAAACCGGGAGGACTCGGTCGGTGGTGGCCGAGTGGTGTAACAGCACTGTTGCTTTATATGAGAGGTTCCCAACCTCAGGTCGCGACCCAAATCAGGGTCGTGGGATGTCCTCAGTAGGATTGCGAGGGGCCTTCAGACAATTTAAAAAATATAGTACTTATCATAGTTAAACAAATTTTTGCTTAACATTCAAGCTATATTATATGCCTGAGAGTCACGACACCGTATTGTAGGGAAATTTAGGGTCGCAGCCAAAAAAGGTTGGGAACCACTGCTTTACATAAATACACTTAAATGAATAACACCAAGTTATTCACCATATTATTCATGACCCTTTCTAAAGGGTCGAGCCAGGGTCAGCTGATTCAGCGAACACCGGCTCGCTCTGACACACTCATTTCCACTGGGCATGGAAACTGGTGGGCACTTCACTCAAGTCTCATCCCCAAGTGTTATTCACAACACTTCCCTGGAGAGAATTCACAATACTGTACATTCTCTCGGATTGTACGTGTGTACAGTACCATATATACCTTCAAGTCGACAATAAAACAGAAAATGCCAAAGAGTGTTTACATCAAGCCCTGCCACAAAGAGTTCCAGAACTTAATTAAAACAATTATTGTGATACCAAAACAGCTATCACAAACACACGCCGACAGGCCAGAATTTCCGGCAAAATATTGACAGTAAATATTAAATTTCTTTGTACTGTACTCAGACTTGATTAAGTGTCATATAATCAGGTTTTTGCCTTGTTTTTACCCAGTAATTTCCTTCATCCTTTAAGCCCTGCCCAGTATAGGTGATTTACTGATTCATGATCGTATAGATAAAATAAAACATGACATAATTAAAATGAAAAGTTGTCATATCATTTTTCTAACTATCATTCAAAGAATATGTGGAGAAAATGAATGAAACCAGACAATAGCTCTTTGTGTTAGCTCTCTGCTCCACTATTACCTAATTTTTAGATTAGGTTAGGTTGGGTTGGGTTAGGTTAGGTTTGGTTCTGTTATTTATCTCTCCCACCCAAAACCCCAGATTTCCCACAGAACCCCCAAGATTGTTAGAGATGGGGGGGTTATTACTCAGTAACCACTCATTTGCAACAGAAATTAAGGTCATAGTCGTATGAATCAGACCAAATACCATGGGAAAAACACTAAATTATGCTCTAACAGTAGTTGGGGCTGAAACTGCAAATTTATCAGGTTAGGTTAGGTTTCTTTTGTTAGTTGTCAGGTTCTATTAGGTTCTATTCAACCCACAGTGATATTAACCAACCAATAAAAACTCTTAGCCATCATTTAGGGTAAAAGATAAATCATATTAAAACGTGATCAACCTTACGATAATGACAAGTCTCAGTCAAAGCCTTACACGGGTTACTGCCTTGTTAACAACCATATTCACTCCGGGTTGTGTTAAAGAGTTATTATTATTTTCTTTAACGTTAGTGAACAATCTGTAAAATATAACACTATGTATAATATAATTTAATATATTTGTTTTATTTTTTTATAAGTATACCACTATAAAAAAATTGCATGCTGACATAATATATATATCATACACAACCTTAACATGGATACATTTACAACACGACTAGATTAATGACGTCATTTTAATATATTGTTTTATTTTCAATGCATTCTTCACCATGTATATCCCACCACTCATTAGATATATTTTTGATAATTTTGTCTTTTTCCAATTTAACTAACACAATATATTGGTGGTATAGGGTTAACGAGCGTATCACAAAAAGGTGTTGTCTTTTACTTCTGTACTTTTTCGCCACTGATCGACTCGTTAGCCGCTTGGACGGTCGGTCACGTCTTTGATACGCAGTGTTGGCAGATATTGGCCAATTGAGCAAGCATTGGCTCCTGAATATATCGGAACCTGCTCCAGTGTTAGCCTTGAATGTGGGACATGTGATAAGCCTCCTTACTATTGGTGCGACTCAGGTGCATCCTTTTGTACTTCCTGACACTGAATTTTAGCAGTTATTTCCTCGACCATTCTTGAAGCTCATACAGATCTTTCTGCTGCTCTTCACAGTCTGTTTGGTTCTTAATTTCCCTAAACACCTTGGCATCGTCTACAAACATTTGTATGAAGGAGTGAAGAGCTTCTGGCATGTCATTACTTTTACTTTTACCCTCTTCACCACTCATCGGCTCGTTAGCCGCTTGGGCGATCGGTCACGTCTCTGCCATGCACTGTTGGCAAATACTGGGCATGCACCGGCATACAAACACCAACGGGTTCAATACACTGCCCTGTGGTTCCCCGCTTGTCACAGGTACACATTTCCTTTTTTTCTTTTATCCTCTTCGCCATTGATCGGCTCGTTAGCCGCTTGGGCGATCGGTCACGTCTCTGTTACGCACTGTTGGCAAGTACTGGGCATGCACCGGCTCCTGAATGTACCTGAACCTGCTCCAGTGTTGATCAAGTCTGGTCTTGAAAGAGCTCACACTCGGTGCCGTCACAACACTCTCTGGTAGATTGTTCCAAGAGTTCACAACTCTCACTCCGAAAAAGTTGGCCCTAACAGTTTTCTGGACCTGCGGCTTCTTCAATCTTGAGCTGTGACCCCTTGTGGGGCGAGCGTCCGCCAGCTCCAAGTAAGGACACTCGACTGAGTAGTGCCCCTTGAGATGCTTATACACCTCAATTAGGTCGCCCCTTGCCCGTCTGTAGCATAAGCTAAGCAAGTTCAGGCGCTCCAATCTCTCAGGGTAGTTGAGGTCCCGAAGTGCAGGCACCAGCCTGGTGGCCCTCCTTTGAACATTTTCAACCAACTTTATAGTCCCTAGCATATCTCGGGGACTAGACGGGGTGACAGTACTCCAGATGGGGAAGCACTTCACTCTTGAAGATCGTTACGTCAGTCATGTTATTTATGAAACAAACAAAGGGCGATCGTCACTCCACGAACAACTATATACCGGTGAGCCTGACCAGCATAATATGTAAAGTACTTGAGAGTTTTATCAGATATGCCTCGATGGAACATCTACTACGAAACAACCTTGTACAGAATTGCCAACTCGGTTTTATGCCGGGAAGCTCCTGCTTAACACAATTTCTCAAAGTATTGTATATTTGGATCCATATTCTGGAACGGGGTGGTAATATCGACAATATTTACCTAGATTTTGCCAAGGCTTTCAACAGTGTACCCCATGAAAGGCTGAAAATCAAACTGGAAGGGTAGGGAATTCGAGGAAATGTCCTCGCGTGGATAGAAGACTTTCTACATGACCGCAAGCAGTGTGTGGTGACTAATGGCACGAAATCGTCATCCGTTGCTGTCACAAGTGGGGTACCACAGGGCAGTGTATTGGGCCAGCTGTTGTTTCATAAATGACATGCCTGACGTTGTACACTCCTCCATACAAATGTTTGCCGATGACACTAAGTTATTTCGGGAAATTAAGAACCAAGTGGACTGTGAAGAGCTGCAGAAGGACCTCTGTGGGCTCCAGGAATGGTCCAAGAAATGGCTGCTGAGATTCAATTTCACGAAGTGTAAGAGGATGCACCTGGGGCGTACCAACGGTAAGGAGGAATATCATATGTCCCAACGGGATGAAGAAACTGCATTAGTTGAGACTGAATGTGAGAAGGACCTAGGTGTGTATGTTGACAATGAGCTGAAGTTCTCAGGCCATTGTGAGAAGAATGTAAATCAGGCAAATACATTATTGGGTCTTATAAGAAGGTCGTTCAGATATCTAGACGGTCCGTCCCTCGTAACGATCTTCAAGAGTGAAGTGCTTCCCCATCTGGAGTACTGTCACCCCGTCTTGTCCCCGAGATATGATAGGGACTGTCAGTTGGTTGAAAATGTTCAAAGGAGGGCCACCAGACTGGTGCCTGCACTTCGCCTCCTCAGCTACCCTGAGAGATTGGAGCGCCTGAACTTGCCTAGCTTATATTACAGACGGGCAAGGGGTGACCTAGTTGAGGTGTATATGCATCTCAGGGGTCACAACTGAGTCGAGTGTCCTTACTTGGAGCTGGCAGACGCTGGCCCCACAAGGGGTCACAGCTCAAGATTGAAGAAGCCGCAAGTTCAGAAAACTGTGAGGGCAAACTTTTTCGGAGTGAGAGTTGTAAACTCTTGGATCAATCTACCAGAGAGTGTTGTGACGGCACCGAGTGCGAGCTCTTTCAAGACAAGACTTGACCAACACTGGAGCGGGTTCAGGTACATTCAGGAGCCGGTGCATGCCCAGTATTTGCCAACCGTGCGTGGCAGAGACGTGACCGATCGCCCGGGCGGCTAGCGAGCCGATCTTTTGGTGAAGAGGATAAATGAAAAGGAAAAGTAATCAGAGACGTGACCGATCGCCCAAGCGGCTAACGAGCCGATCAGTGGCGAAGAGGATAAAAGTAAAGCAAGTAAAAGTAAAAAAGTATAGATACTGTGGCAAAGACAACCAATCAGCACTTACTTCAACTAAAGAGAACTACTTTATAAACATCTCACAGGGCACAACTCAGCCGAGTGTCCATTCCTGAAGCAGGTGGACGTCTGCCCCACAAGGGGTCACAGCTCACGGTTGAAAAAGCCACAAGCCAAATAAACCGAGAGGGTAAACATTATCAGGGTGAGAATTGTGAACTCTTGGAACAACCTGCCAGAGTGTGAGCTCTTTCAAGACCAGACTTGACCAACACCCAGAAATGCTTCGCTCCCTTTCAAGTTTTTGCCTGATGAATAACTTCCCATTTTTTATTCTCATTCTCTAGTTTGATCCTGAAAAGCAGGGCTTACGCTTTTGCCTTTGTCCTTCATGAAGGGGAGCTGACAGGTTCTGCGCCTCATCAAAATATACCGTACTGAAACTTCATCTTATGTATTTTCCTACATTCAACTTCCTTCAACTAACTCTCAGGGACTCCAAACACTATTATATATTGTTCCTGCACTCGAATCATTCCCAGTGTTCCTCCTCTCCCATATCAATAGGTCCACTAGTTGTCATCTTTTCAACACTCTTCTGTATAAGTCCCTAGCTGCTGCAGGACCAGTTCGTATCTAATATTACTCAATGTCATCTTCTGTGCCCCTGCTGCAACCTGAGCATAGGTCCTCTTAACTAGTTCCTCTATTCTATCAGTAACTTCCCAAGTCTTGGTGAGGATATCCTTCCCAACTTGCTCTAGTTTGGCAACCAACAGGGTGTAGTGGATTCCTCCCCTACAAACGCTTGTCGCTGAGTAGCCGACCCCACGAATTCCCCAGTGTATGCCTCGTAGTCTAGGTCAACCAGCGCCGCCTTACATGACGGAGGTCAACTATTAAGCCACGCCTACCTCTGCTGTATAAGACCACCTGACCTCGTGGTGACCTACCTCTCTTTCTACCTACAGCCAGTCTTCAAGTAATGCCACCACCTCCTCCGCTCCTGCCTGGCGGCCCTCGCTCCCGCCGGCGAGCATGGCGAACCACAAGCTGGTCCTCCTCTGAGCACCCTCACCAACCAGCTCTCTCTACATCACGCTTGTAACCACGCTGCCACTTCCCAGCACCAAACTGCAGTGTACATCCAATACAATATGTATACAGAGAGCACATTGTGAGTTTCCTTTCTCCATCCCATCCTGAGTGTGAACCCAAACAACTCGTACCCCACAAATGGTGACCCCCGGAGTGACGCACTCACACAGGATGGAGGAGAAACCGATCACTCTCCCAGTCTTCAAGCAACATGGAAGACTGGCTTATCCACACAGAAGCAGCTCTCATCGCCTCTACAGCTACTGTCTCTACACTGCAGGTTAGACACCCTAGAGCAGCTCTGCGACTTTAAGCAGACAGCAGCTCGTCTTCCTGCCCCAAGCACCACATCCTACCGACCCCAACACACCCGTCCTGCCTCAGAAGCCGCCCCGGCCCAGCAGTACCCCCTGCCGCGGACCCACACACCCCTCTTTTCTCCCTCAGGTACCCCCTGCTACTGTCCTGCACCCTGCTGCTGTCGTGGACCCAGCTGCTGTCACGGACTCTCCTCCGCTCCTGCTGACGCAGCCCCTGCTCCTGACCCAGGCCCACACACCCCAGCAGGGGCATCTGACGACTCTGTACCTGCCGTGAAGGAAGCACAACATTCATCGCCTCCACGCACCCTTTTTCTCCCTCTCTACTCCCACAGATATTGTGTATCTAGACAGTTGTCTCCTCTAGCGGCCGGCTCATCCACGCCCTCGCCGTTATGGCTCACATGTGGCATGCACCGCCCGTTCTGCCTCATATGTGCCATGCAACCCTGCAGACAACAAGTCTCCTACACCGCCTGGAGGGAAGGGGGAGAATTGTAGTGGATTCCTCCCCTACAAACACTTGTCGCTGAGTAGCCGACCCCGCGAATTCCCCAGTGTATGCCTCGTGGTCTAGGTCAACCAGCGCCGCCTTACATGACGGAGGTCAACTATTAAGCCACGCCTACCTCCGCTATATAAGACCTGACCTCGTGGTGACCTACCTCTCTTTCTACCTACAGCCAGTCTTCAATTAACGCCACCACCTCCTCCGTTCCTGCTTGGCGGCCCTCGCTCCCGCCGGCGACCATGGCGACCCACAAGCTGGTCCTCCTCTGAGCACCCTCACCAACCAGCTCTCTCTACATCACACTTGTAACCACACTGCCACTTCCCAGCACCAAACTGCACTGTACATCCAATACAATATGTATACAGAGAGCACATTGTGAGTTTCCTTTCTCCATCCCATCCCGAGTGTGAACCAAATAACCCGTACCCCACAAGGGATCCAGTTTCATCTCGAAGTATCTCTTTCCCTTATGTTCTACAATAGCCTCGTTAACTTTGGGTATACAGTACTTTCTGTGCAATACCAGCCTCCACACTTTACCAGTCAGCATACTGCATGTCATCAAACTTCCTGGTGATGCTGGGGTTTAAACCTCTGATCCCCTACACCTCATGCATGTTATGTCACAAACATTCTTCTTTTTTCATGTATTTACATCTGTGGGACTTGCAGTACTTGACAGCTGTTGCTGTTGACAATCCTGAGGGGGGGGGGGTGATGTGCGAGGTGAGCATTTGTCCAATTTAATGGCAAGACTGTAAGAATTTTCTTAACCTTAAGCCCAATTTACAATGTGATAGTAGGCTTAGTAATTATTGCTATTATTATCATTATTATAATATCACTGTACTTTATTAATATCATTGTTTCTATTACTTTTGTGTCTTGACAGGACTTGCATCTCAAGGACATTTTAAAGCCCATGACTCAACTGCATTCCTACATAAGTCTTGGTGTTGTGTGTGTAGGTGGGGGGGAGCTGATGCCAACCTTCATAATCTCTCATTTTATTCTGAAGAATAATTTACTCCTTGCTAGGATGACTTCCTTTATAATCACACCTACAAATTTAAAATTTAAATGAACTAAGATATGTGTGTACCCTCGTGGCAAGAAAATTATTTAAAAATCACTTAGCTGTCCTGTTGGTCTTAACTTTGCTGGCAACCTCATTTTTTTTTTCTAGTTTTCCTCAGTGGGTTGTTGGTATTGCTATGTGCTATCACTTTGTACACTATATCTCCCTATGAATGGTGGATCATTTGCACAATCACAATTCTTTAGAAAAAAAAAAAAACTTTCGTTGTGGCACCAATAGTGTCTCGGTTAATTCCAGGCAATCAAGCCTGTTGCTTCCTCCTTTTTTTTCCCACTTGAAATTATCTTCAAGTTCCCATGGCAGTTACTGTTGTCACTTTGAACTATCCTAGCTGAAAGCACAGTACAGTCCTACACTCCGATCATCCTATTGATGGTCAATCACAGCCATGAGCATGTCTCATTTAAAATTTTCTTAAAAAATCTTGGCATATGGCAATGTTTTTATGGTTGTATCCCCGCAGCCTATTGCTCCAGTCAAGTAGGGAGAATATTTCAATATACAATCACAAATACTGTAACACTAAAAATGCTACATCGATTTACACATTCACATCACGAAGATGACCTTGATGCTCTAATTTCTGACGTTTAAAAATGAAGGCCCAAATGCCAACACACTTTATTACAGATGCAACATGTGACCCACACAACAATAGACAAAAATGACATACTGTCCTGCTGAGGATAGAGTACAAGTACTGTAAAGACAAGTACATGGATCTCAGTACTCACCTGAAGATTCGTCCCAACACTACCCAAGGGTATTCGTCAAGTTACAGTGGACCTCAGTAGCCACGTAAGGTATGCGCCCACCCCACCCACCATATACTACCTGAATTTAAACCAACCCGAAGCTAGCCGGGGTACATATTCTTCAGTGGTGGTCGTTGTATATTTTTAACTAAACTGTGCATATCATCATGTCATGTTTTTATTTGCATACTACAACAAATACTGTTATACTATATCATTATACCATTACAATATTTTTATTACATAAACAATGGATCGACAAAGTAGCCCAAAACAGCTATTTTGGCATGATGGGTAATTTAGCCTGTCAGGCTATTTTGCCGTGACCGGTACTTTAGCCACTTCCATAAAAGTAAAGTAAAAGTAACTCAATCACATACTGTAAAGTAGACGAAGGTGTTCCTTCACTCAAAGAGGTGTCCTGGTTTGGTGTACAAATCACAGGTGGTGCGATACATTCCTTGCTTTGACATATTCCCTGGTGCTGCAGAAACTGAGCTCAATAGAGAAACTAAGGATCACCTGAAGATTAGCCCCAACATAATTCAACTGATAATTAAGCACCTGAACTCTACCTAATGGGCTAAGCTATGTTAGGTGAGGTTAGGGTGGTTAATCTTTAAGTGAAATAAACTAGAGGGTTATCTTCAAGTGATCCAATAAAATTTACACTGGTGATAGTTCTTTACCATTCACTTGATGATTCCGAAGGAAGACGAATTAATATAATAATCTGTTTAACTTCACAATTAGAAATTAATTTCACTGTGGATAGTGGTTAGTACATAACTGTGGATATCTAAGAATACAAGATTTTTTTAAGAGTTTTTATTTTTTCATGTTTTTTTTGGAGCATACAACACAAAGTAGGCCTTCCAATAGCCATGGGGCAAGGGTTAAATAATATTTCTACAATAGCTTTAATAAATAATCTTCCTCAACACCTACCTACTTTATTCTCTAGATTATCCATTCTTCCAACTCCAGTTCCTCTCCTCAACAAAAACACTGGCAGGACTTTAACATAATCCCTTTACTTCAGTCACATATGTAGTATTCCAGTTATCATACGAAGCATTAAGAAGAGAAAAGTAATATATATATACACACAACATATGCATAGTTTATTTTCCTTTACAGAGGTGCTCTTAAACATACCCTCATACTTCCTTTGCTTAAAAACTTACGTTACTAACATGGTGACTTGAAGGCTTATGTGAGTGTCGGCTGTATTATGTTCCCATATAGTGATTGAAGTAAAAATTATAAAATAGCAGAAAATTATCCGGTTGACAAGGAACAAACGTTTCTTATCAGTGTAGTTACAGAACTAAGCCCAGCAGAATATATGGCCCAAATCAGTAGCAGTTAGGCATTTAAAGTTATGAAAGCCTTTTTGCACCTAACTTTTAATCCTGCAACTGTGAAAAAAGGATTTGTATCCTGTGATACTATATATTATTTTTTTTTTTTTTTTAATTTGATTCAATAAGGAGTACATTATTCTGGTTATGCTTACCATGAAATCTGAAACTATGGAAATGCGAGCAAAAAGCCAAAAAAAAATATTTTGCTTTTTGTAAGTCATCTTTAAAAAGGCCTCCACTGTCTTAAACAGATATAAAAACTAAAATGATCATCACATACTGTATATATACAGCATACCCAGGTTGACAATCCCTTATCCAAAAACATCTGAAAACCGAAATTTTTCTAGTGGAGCAAAACATATTTTTTTTTTTTTTAATATAACAGGGATTAGCCCACCCAGGCTAATGGGGGGGGGGGGGAATGCAATAATAATAATAATAATAATAATAATAATAATAATAATAATAATAATAATAATAATTCATAGTAAATAAAATTAACAATAAAAAATACACTAGTTCGTAAGTGAGGGTGTTCGTAAGTCGGACGGTCATAATTCAGGGACTGCCTGCTGTATATACTGTACTGTACACACCATATGTAGTCACAGCAGAGGCTAATACTCCTAGGACCCATTTATATTATTTAATGTAAAATACAGGAAATCATCTCATTAACAGACAGGGCTGGAATGAATTAGTCCAGTACAGTATTGGGAAGGTTCAATGCACTTTACAATATTAAATGCTGATTTTTAAAGGTCTCAAGCAGGATTTAGAACTAAAATAGACAACACCCCCCACACAATAATTGTTACGCTTTTGAGATTTTACCGATTGTGTGAGAATTGGAATTCTGAGACAAAATCTTGGTATTACAAACAATCTGATTTGATGGGGATATTTAAAACCACATTCTCAGGAAGAAATAGAGAAAATCACCACCATGAATATTATTTAACAAAGCCTTTAAACACAGTTCAGTTCATGATATACAATAACCATTTACAGTACTCACTCAAGCCAATTTTCAAGCCTTTCATCTTCAGGAATGACTGACCAGTTGGGGGATATTTCACTCTCACTTAACCAATGAAAGTCATCTATTTTGTCCCACTGGTTTATATTCAGATCTAAGCCACTTTGGCAATAATGGTCTTCAAGTTCTGGATATCTGAGTGTGTAAGGTGCAAATTGAACTTTCTGGCAATTTTCTATTATAGCTGCACCTGTGACATGCAAATAAAACTGAGTGTTTTGTGTATTATGAATGCGAACTTGCTGACAAGCCATAACAAATTTACAATTAATGCAGTCTTTAATAAATGCTGACCTAGAGGTTGGACCAATAATCACAGTACAATTCCTAAGTGAAGCTACCTGTAATGTACTTGGGTTACCCAGAGCAATAACCTTACAATCTTGCAGGTTTTGCAGGTTCATCTGCCGGTTCTCAAGTTCACCAGCTGACTTTGTCAGTGTTTGATGAGCCTGATCCTTGAAACCAAAGAATTGTTTTTTTATTATCTCATCTAAACTGTTACTTTGCATTGCAGTACTGCTATCAGTGGAATCTTTCATTGCAGTAATGTTTTCAGTTTTCTCTGTAACCTTTTTCTTCCCAAATCCAAACCTTTTCTTAGGCTGAAGCTCTTCTATTCTGCAATGAATAAGCTCATCTAACTCTTTCATCTCAGCAGAGGCTTTCTTCATTTGGAATGAAGCTAAGAACATGGAGGATTCATTTAGCAACTGTTGCATTTGCTGAGAGTCCTCGACTAAATTATCTAAATAAGTAATCAAATTTGCTTTCTTGACATTTCCTACTTCTTCAATCTTTGTCTCTAAGTCCTTTTTCATTTGCTGAAAAGTTTCATGAAAATAGTCAAACTTTTCAGATACAGCTGCATTACTCTCCTTCTCTGAACGCCTTTGCTCTGCTTTTTGTGCTAAGTCATCCGTTCTTTGCTTCATGCGTTCCAAGAGATTGGAATAACTAGAAGACTGTGTTGGATCCATTATTCACAAAATAATTGTGGACTCTATATATACCTGTATACTGTACTGTATATATATATATATATATATATATATATATATATATATATATTTTTTTTTTCTAACTTATGTATACCCTTCCCAACAGTTTATTTATACATATATACAGATTACAAAATAAAAATTTTCATGAACCCTTTTGCAGAGTAGTTTCCTTTTCGAACTGTTCTCTCAACTTCCTGGCTGCTATTTCTGGATCATCTCCAGCTGCAGCATTCTTCAGTACAGACATAAAGGCAGCATTACGTTTCTGAGCAGCAGATTCATAGTCTAACTGATGTCTTTCAGGCAGCTCCTATTGGATAAAGATAATCATTAATAAGAGGCAAATTTAACTGATTAAGAATATGCCTAATAAGTAAAACTAAATTATTGTACAGTACTGCACATGACAAAAAATAGTACTGTTGATAGCACATCACCCAAAACTTAATAAAGACCCTTCAGTTCATTTATTATTAATGGTGATATTTCCTGTCAAACTGAATAAAAAACTACAGGATATTTGAATTTTTGTGAAATATACAAGGATATCAGAATTCCAGTACAAACTAAAGAATATGCAAAAGCTGCCAAATACAGTATTTGGTCAACATCTACATGATGGTAATGTTACACATACATACAGGTATTTTAAAATTATTCTTACACTAAAAATATTAAGGAACATTAAAGAAATGAAAAGATACTAATACGTCACTTAAATACAAGGAATATCAAGTGACTAAGTTCCCTTTTTTAACAAAAGTTACAGTACAAGTATCCCTCCCTATACAAACGTTTGAGATACAAAAATTTGCTTATATAAATTTCCTAAATTTACACCACTTTTTTCATTTAACAAAAACTTCCCGCAGCTTATGTGAATTTTGGTTCACAAATATTTATATTGCACACCCCCAGGCGTCAGCTGGGGCAGCCATATCCTCCTAGGTGTGAGCGATATTACGGTTATTTACAACTCGTTACTTCGGGTAGATATGCAAAACTTTCTTCATATTTTTTTACTGTTACATGCACACACAATCCTAAATACAGATTTAAAAAAAAAATATATCGTAAAGCAAAAACATTTCTTCATGTGCCAGCGTGAATTAGCAGGTTGAGGAGGAGAGTTATTTTATGGTTATTTTTCAACTCGTAGGTTTGGGTTGATAAACTTAACTTTCTTCACTTTTTTTTGACTCGGATACATGTAAACACAATCCTATATAAATAGTGCAACAAAAGTAAAAGAAATAATTATCAAAAGGTAAAAACATTTCTTTGTGTGCGCAGATGGGGGGTCGGAGTCCCGTCACTAAAGGTCGGCAGAAGCAGCGTCTCAGCTGGGCTGCGTTGCTATGACGAGGCTTTAGGCTACGTAGCCAGTGTTTATGCAATTGACAGTCATGTTAAACTTTCATTTAGCTTTTCCTTAATTTAGATGCACATTTTTATCTATTTAGTAGTTTATTAATGTTTTTAATGTGTTAGGTAGTAAATTACAGTACAGCCACTCCTCGACTTACGACCACCCCAGTTGTACCAATTTTTTTTCAAATTACGTATTTTCGAGTCCTGACAGTGATTGCGCTGTGTACTTACAAAATTTTCGTTTGTAATTCCCTTTAAAATGGCTGGCATGCTTAAAAGTGAGAGTTTTGTGGTGCTGAGAAGAAAAAGAGACAACCATTTTAGATTTTCTATGTATTATCTTCGCATTTTCGACTTACGACCTGGATTTGGGTCCCTAGCCCCGTCGTAAGTCGAGGAGTGGCTGTAGTTGTGTACAGTACTATTTTTTGTTAGCTAGGTAGATTTTGTTGTTGTTCGGGATCCAATTTCTTGTTTTGGGGTACAATATTGAGGCTTTCATGTCATTGGGGAACGGAAATTTTTTTTCCCCATATGTTCTATTATTCGAGTTCCGAAAATTCATTTAGCGAATGGTTTTTAAGGAATCTGACCCATATGTATAGCAAAGGATACCTGTTATTTCCAGAAAACTACAATGTTTAAAGAAACCCATTCAACCACAGGCAAGCATTAGTATAATTATAATTAGACACACATTTACTCTGATTGCATTATATCTATGTCAATTGAGATAGCTTATATCATCAACACCAAAATTTTGCAACCATTTTCCACACTTGCATCAATCAGCCATGATTACCTGATGGCAATTTTCCATGTGTATTTGTTTTATGCTTGTAAAAATTAATAGCTGCATTAAAGGACCATAAATATTTGTAAGCAGAGTACCAGTAACCTTCACCATTGGCCATTACTGCTGCCACCTGATCCTCCCCACCTCAAAACCTTCTACAGGGATGTTCACTTTCTTGGCTAACTTCAATATCTTTCAGGCATTTTAGTGACTACTGTACTGTAATCACAAAATAAGTAAAATATAAATTTACAGTACATCTTTACTTACCTGAAATTATATAATCTTTGTACAAGTTACTGAGTAAACAATGTATGAAACTGTTTCGACCAGACCATATGGCGAGTGATATGATATGGGCTCTTGACTGCATGTTAGGGACAGTATGAATACAACACACTGTATACTAAACCTCTGGTACACAAGGAGGCAGCGAAGCCACCACTGCACTCAACTGCCTTCTCTTCCCCAACTTGTCAAGTTAGGTACCCATTTACAGCTGGATAGACTGGTAGTGCCCCAGGATCAAACCACTAACCCCTGGGATAGGAGGTGAGGGTTGTATCCACTCAGCCAAAACACTCAAATTTATAATTATTGTATGTATATTATGTATGCTGGATTATGTATTATGTATGTATATTATGTATGTGCTCCATTTATATTTATTCAGCCTAGCTAGCAGCGTGTGGCAATGTTATTACCATATCCCACACGCTTAATTAATGTGCCTGGCGACGTATGGAAGCTGCTAATGTATCACTTGCCATACGTCGTCTATGGTAGTTGACCAAGAGCTTAGCTAGGGAGCAGTGCTACCCACCTCTGTGTACATACTCTTATCCAGTAAACCGAACCTACAAAACTATACAGGTGTTTGTGTTCTCTCCTGTATATAGAACTTATTACCCAGAACATCTAACATGGCGCAGTGCGTAGTTTTACTGGATTATTACGAGTGATTAGTGCAAGTTTGTGGAAAGCCGGCTGATGGATCCCCGCCTTGGGTCAACCCAGCGTCATCCCTCGAAGAATTTCGCAACTTTGAGCAGTGTCAGTGACAGTGATTTTCTGTGAAGTGTTTAGTGCATTGTGTGTTTCGTGCCATTCATGTGTGACCTTGTTCGAACGGATTTCCAAGGTATACGGCATGTTCTGGGCATTTGTGGGGTGTAGAGCTCAGCGCACCCTCCTCTGACCGTTTACAGAGAGCGACTGAGCTACTCCTATCTCCACCCCCCTCCCTCACAGCGCCGCCTCCACCCCCCCTCACAAATGGGGCGAGACGCTCTGCCTGCCTGGGACACACACACATACACTTGCTGACCGCGCGGCTTCATTATATATATTTTATATATATAACCTACTTATCTGTGTATTGAATTAAATTTTTTTTGTCTGAAATCTTGTTGATACGACGGGCTGACCGGTCAACACTGATTTAAGACACAGTACACAGATAAAGTAGTTATGTCTCATGCCTTACGTAGCCGTGGACCCAGCGCCTGGATGAGTCAAGCGGATGATAGTCCCCCAGAGATGGATGACCAGGCCGGCCCAGCTCCCACAACATCGCGCAGCCCTTCACCTCAACATTCAGCGTTATCTCCAGAGATAATTGCCTTAATGAAGTTTATGAGAGATGAGAGACGCGAGGATGAAGCTCACAGGCGTTTGGCGGATGAGCACAGAAGGCAAGCAGAGGCAGAACGAGACCACCAACGGAGAATGGAAGACAGTGCACGGTTTGAAGCCTTGATATCTCGCCTCACTGTTAACCAAGCCCCTGGCTCTAACACTGCCTCGGTACTGAATGGTTCAGATACCTCATCCATGCTTCCTTCACGCCCCCCAGCCCCACCTAAAGCAGCAGCTCAAACGCCGCCCATCTTGGAGCCTGATGTAAATTTCCAGACTTTTCGCGAATGGCGGCGGCGGTGGACTGATTATGCTACAATGGTGGATCTCCAGAGTTTGTCACAGCCTAAACAACTCATCCAGCTGCGTATGTGCCTGTCCTTGGAAGTTCAGCGTGTCTTAGAACATACGTTGCAGGTACCCCCAACCTCTTCGCTGTCTGTAGAGGAGGTACTGGACGTTCTACAACGGCACATCAAAGGACAGCAGAATGAAGCTCTGCGCAGGAGGGAATTGTTTAGCTGCAGACAGATGGAGGGTGAGTCTTTTGACGCTTTTTATGTACGTCTTAAGAGAGCCTCGGAAGAGGTAGATATATGTTTAGGCCACCACCAGCAGTGCGAGGAGACCCAGTTGAAGCAGGTGATCCTGATGGGTGTCAAGGACGAGGAACTTGTCCAACGCCTCACCTCCCTCGACTCTTCCTCTTCTCTTCAGGATGTGTTGACGATATGTCGCTCCTATGAGGCTGCCAGGTGTGCCACCTCTGCCATCCGAGCTCCCCCTACAGCTGTACGCGCTGTTTCCCGGTACAAGAAGGACAAGAAGTCTGCTCCTACGCCTTCGCCCACCACGTCCACGCCCGGTTCATTTTGCAACAACTGTGGTAAGCAGCACGGAACACAGGTATGTCCAGCTGCTCAGTCTACCTGCAACAGTTGTGACCGTATGGGCCACTGGTCGCTCACAGTGCGGTGCCCAGCTAAGTACGTACAGTGCAATGTGTGCGGTCGTCTGGGCCACTATGACAAGTGTTGCCCTACCCACGAACCCAAGGGACAGCGTCGGCGGAAGCTTCGGCGCCCTTCTACCAGTGAGGGCCGCCCACAGTCGCCAAATCAGAGGCACGACGACCCGGGACAAAGCCCGACCCATTTTAGGAGGGTGTACTCCTCGCATCCCAGGACCAAAGCCCCCCAGTACATCAGCGTCATCGTGACCTACGGCGGTGTGTCATCCCGTCTTCAGATGTTGCCCGACACCGGCGCTGATGCTACAGTCATCGGTCCCCAGCATTTGCGATGCTTGGGGCTCTCTCCAAGCGATCTAGGACCGCCTCCCGAGGACCTCTGCGTCACGGCAGATGGTTCACAGATGGCCCCAGCCCTGGGTTCACTCTATGCACATGTCACCTTTGGCAACAGGTCGTGTCAGGCCTGGATTGACGTGCATAATGGTGTCCCGACTCCCTTGCTGTCCTACAGACATTGTCAAGAGTTGGCCAT